AACATTGTCATTTGGCTAACATATGCAGACAATCAGCCGGGTTTCCTGCACACAACAGACTATCATTCAAGTCAAGCCACATAGCCCAAGAGATATCCAAGGTCACAGAGCCCATACCCTCTCTCAGTGTTTAATTGAATCAGAATCTAGCAAATGATTTTCTCTCCTTGCTTGCATGAGAAGAGAGATGTTTGAGAGTGGGATTGTGGTGCAAGCCTTAAGTGCCTGCTGTTGTATCTAACTTGAGCGTTCTGTTAAGACTGCTCTTTGCACACCACATGCACTTCATGGTAGGGAAATCTTTGTCATTGCGGGCTCATAGTCAGACTACTCTGAAACAAGGTATGTACATCAGTAGATTTGCGTATGTGATGGTGACTTGGCTGATTAGATTGACACATTGTGCGCACACAAAGTAAAGAAAAAAGGGGTAGTGTAGGATTTAGTCAAGGCTTTCCCTCCAGGTGTTGAAGGAGTTTGAAATATACATGGAAAAGTTGGAAAGAAATGCATCTTCATAGACTGATAGAGCGTCATACATGGATTGCATTTCTCTCCAATGGATGTACATTAATTTCAAATGAGAGAATCCATTAGAGCTGCATGTGTCATTGCATATGCACTGAGCCAAGGTGACAGCGTTGCATGAGTAGATGTAAGGCAGATGATCCATGACCTATATGGAGGGAGTAAATGTGTGCAACTTTATCTGCAAACCGGCTAAAACAGACTGATCACTTTTCTTATAAGTCTGACTTCAAACTTGAAAATAAGTGGTTGGCTGCAAACCCATTACACTGCAGGTCAAATGTGATTCAGGCAGGATGTTAAAGGTACATGGAGCACTATGTACCTTTGCACTCCCAGTTTGCCCCAGGCCTTGTGGGAGCATTTTTATGTGCTCGATGAGCACATAGTAAGGAACACTAACAACAGCCGGAGGTTAACACTATGTTAGCTGTTACAGCTTTACAACCTTTATAGATACTAACAGCTCTGCCTTAAGGGAAAGGTCCAACATTTATTAACTGTACGATTCAAAGGGCAGTTACCAATTCCCCACCTCAGGCCTCAGGAGCACGTGGTGTGACATGTTGCCTTTGAGAAACATGCACCTGCATGCTAAGGGGTTAAATGCAGGGCAAATGCTTTTGAGTGGTTACTTCACCTTGACCAGGCCTGAGGCATCAACCCTGTTCAGAGAGATAGTGCTCCTTCTTTCATTTGCAACAGTAATTTCCATAGTAGACATTGAGGCATGATCACTCTATCCCTATTTCTTTCTTCTCTTCCATATGATTTCAGAAAGTTTTAAAAGTGTGCTGGTATATAGTACTAACGGTATATTAAATTTAAGTAAAGGAGCACTGACAAAAATGATTAAATGGAGTTGTCCCTGAGAGCAGGGGAAACAGTTAATCAAAACTTTAATTTCCAGTTAATTTAAAGACATGCCAACCACACAAAAGAAAAAAATAATAGTAATTTATAAATGTACTTAAAGTTGTTATAGTATAAGATTATAGGTAGACTTTATAATGGGCTGAAATGAACAGTAATGCACCTCTATGATATACATGGGCTGATGAGACCAATATTGATAAAATTGGCAATGTCTACACCATCATTTTTATTGCCTATCAGTGCTGTGAGGGGGGGAAGGTACTTAAAAAAAAAAAAAAACTGCTGTAGTTACTTTACGCACAGCAAAATATTCAAGGTTGGTCATATATTTGATTTTAAAAAGACAATAAAATGAGCTTTTTTGTAAGTTAACAATACTTTTAGACAAAATCATCGATAATAGGAGCTACCATTTTGTCCACAGGGGGTGTCAAAGTCAACTGAGATTGAAAGTTCCTCACAGCACCTTTAAGATATACAAAGGCTGTGTACTAATGCTCGAGATGTCTGTGATCCATCTGACTATGTAATAGCAAGTCTTAATTCTTCTGTCTGTGGTCAACTGCTATAGGTAAACCCAGTTTGCCTTCAGGGTTGCACCAACTCCTACACTGCATGTCCGTCAGTGGCACACCTAAGTTTTAAGTTCATTTACCCTGGAATTACATATTACATGTCTGAAACAAAAAAAATAAACTTAGATAAAAAATAAAATAATGTTAAATAATCCGATTAAATGCAGATACTTATCAATAAATGGACTGAGGAGTTCCCAGTTCTGCCTTTAAGTTTGTTCAAGCTGCAAGACTTCTAACTCCACCTCTTTCCTGTCATTGCCAACGCTGCTCTGCAACAGTTACAGCTGTAGCATCTCAGCTCCACCATCACTTCTCAGCCAGAGCACTGACTTATGGATGACATTTATTTACCTTTTATGTGTCCACTTAACATATTCATAACACTTTTATTTAGGGTACACATCAACTTGTTGTTCATTCATTCTTTTAAGGCAAGTTGGCGCTTAGTTTGTCATATAAAGCACTTATTAATGCCTTACTCTCAAAGATCATATTCTACATCTAGAAAGCCATTAATTAAGGCTTTCCATGCAGGAGATTATTGTTCTTAAAATGAATTGCTGAAGTTAAAGTGGGTATTTGCCACACAGCCCATTGAGTTGGTCGGAACAAGTCTCATCTATGACAAGTTAGATAGCCAGTCTTAATATTCAAGGTGGCTCTGGGAGTGGCTTGATGGTTCTCAAAGGGGCTAGTGCCACCTGAGACGACAACTATGGACACACCCCTGTCACCAGTATCTATTTGCAGGCTTTGATGAGAGGGTTTGAGACATCACCTTATCACACCTCAAACTTTTGCAAGTTTCAAGCCTAGAGCATGTTCTGCAGCTGCAACATTTAAGAGCACTACACATGGCATTATTACTGCTCTCTGTGATGTGCACACTGTATGCAAACATTAGAATAGGTGCACTAACACTTTAACTAAACTATTAAAACCTCATCCCTGGAAGAGGCTGAAAATGTATTTCAGATTTTTGGGAGGGATGTAGAAGCACCTACTTTGTGATTATATGTTAATCTGATTGTGTATTTGATTTTGTTTTTAATGATTCCAAGACCTTAACAGTGCATGCATGTGAAAACTAATGAGCTTCTTTGCATGTGGAGCCTAAAACCAGCCTGAATAATAAGTATGTGCATCAACAATATGCTAAACATGCTGTGTATCAGCTCTCTAATTGACTGTGTCAGCCAGCACTGGGCAGCTGAGAGGACACAGTGTCAAATATTATTGCAACAACAAAGCCTTGACCCGCCCAACCCAAACTAGAGTGGTTCAGTGACAGCCTGCTTCTGCAGAGAGACATATCAGATGACAACTGACCTCGACCCCTCTGCTTGAAATCCCAACGCCGCCATAAGAGGCTTTACTACAGACTAAGGGTGGGTGAATAGGGATAATTTAATGAAACATTAGACAAGTGCACTCCACAGTCCTTTAACAAATTGCTTTTTTTCACTGCCAAGCTTGGCTCGATAGCTGCTGCCTGAAGGAAGAAAACACAAGAAAAGGAAAGGGGAAAGAAAAAGCAGTTATGTACCTGCGGTGTTCAGAGGCTGAGTATCATAGCGCCAGAAAAACAACTGATACATAGAAGATGAGTCTGTCCCATGATGGCTAAGCCTCCCCCAGAAAGTCTACGGGTGGATTTATGAGAAGTATGTAGGACAGATTAAGCAAAGGAAAGCTGTTGACTTCAGACCTGAGATCAAGAAGCTACACTCACTCTCTGTTGAAGCAACCTATGGCCATTAACAGGTGGCTGCTGGGAGCTGGCAGGGCTCCATGAGTTAAGGCAGCCCTTAATAAGAGGCTGGCAGAGCCAACGGGGGGAATCCTTTCTGTGGCATCACAAATAGTTTCACCCCTCTGCACCCCTTTGTGTTACGTAGCTTTCTTAAGCTCTGGATTTAAAGCTGGTCAGCAAGCAAAGCCTTGAATTAGCTTAATGAGAAGAGCCAGGCACATGATCCCAGCCTCACGTGGAGAGAAAGTCACGGGCAGGCACTTAAAGCTGACATGATCGTTGTGTCTGTGAGCTCTATTGACAGGCGGGGATGGCTGTGCGCAGTTAAAAAGAATGATGACTTACATGCTAGAGAATAATTCACATCTGTGTTTGCATGCATGGAGCAGTCTGTTTTTACCGGATGTAAATCTGTGCTCTCATGCAGCTATAATTGGGACTCAGGCATATGGATTCTTAGTGTCTCAGTAATGAGGGTGGCACATAACCATAAAATGTATGTCTCAATTCAACATTGTCAGCTTTAGTGGGTGTAAGCTTAAGATATAACATTGTTCATAAAATACAGGAAACACTGAAAAGCCTGGCCTACATACAGTTATGCAAACACACAAAAAACTCTGCAATAACAATAAACTATCATGGGAGGGGAAAGTGGGAAAATTTTATGACTTCAGCTCTTTATGAAGAGCTCAGTTTAGCCAACAGAAAGAATCCATTCTGGTGAACCAAACAACCCTTATGAAATGTGTCGTTAATTTTTTATATTTTTTATCTGTACTGTTCTAGATGAAATGCCAAATGTGTGATCTGCTGCAGTTCAATTTCCCTATAGGACAAATAAACTATTACTACTACTACTAAATTGTTTAGCCTATTAGCACATCCATCAAGTGTCTGACATTATTCTGAGATTTTAAAATGATTTACTGTTTTGTTTGTGAGGAATATCAACTGGCACAGATGGTGCCGAATTGTGCCAAATTGTGCCCAAATGACCAATTTGGAAAATCTGCTTGAGCATTCTTTTAGAAAAAAACATGTAAAACTTTGCTCTGCTTTGTCTTCACCAGTTTTAGCACCAGTAATGTCAAAATGTTTCTTAGTCAGCTGCAGCAATTCACAGGGCCTTTATATTTTCATGTGGCAGAAAAGCTGTATTTTTTTTTTTACCCTGACCCTTATCCTTAATATGATACCAAGTTTATTCATGTAGACCTTACTGTTGCTTAGATACACTTGGTTTTTGCTTGTAAATTTCCAGCATGGATCTGGATAACAAGCCCAAGGATGAAAAGGTTTTTAGACTGACCAGGCTGGACAAGGACTGTGAAACGAATCTAGCTTGGTAAATATCATCATCTAATTGCTCTCAGAACTCCATACAGATGTTTAAGGACTGTATTTTGCAAATCATACTTTAACATATGCATGACCGTGCAACAGTTTATCACAGATTTGGTCCATTTTGTTGATTTTTATACGCTACAATACACCTTCAAGTCTCATAGCTAGACATTCCTTAAGTTGCAGAGAGTAAAACTTCTTATATTGATGGTAGATTTTCTAGTTAGCTGTTGACTTTGTCTTCTCAGGAAATTGTTCTTTGTTGGAGTCTTTCTGTCTTGTGTTGTTCTACTTGGTGGACTCAATTTTATTTAAATCGCTATGAAGCATGATGAACTTCCAGAGTTGTCAGTATGGTTCTTGGTTTACGTCTGAGAAACGTTTAAGTTACTCAGCACTGCTGTGTGCCACTTGGCTTTGCTTTGAGCAGATATAAAAAAGGGTTAAGCTCAGTCTTCTTTCACATTTCCTGCAGCAAAGACGGTTGTATAATTAAGCGGTGAATCACAGTCACTGGCGGAAGTAATTAAATGTATAAAAATAAAGCTTTTGAAAACACATGTGGAGGTGGATTCAATCCCTCAAGAGCTTAAGATAAACTTCCCATCAGTCCACCATGCATCACCATAAATGAGTGAGGTCATGTTCATCGATTACCTCCATGGGGTATCAATCAGTATCATTGTTGTCCTCATCTAAAACAACTGGTGTTCTTGTCTTTACATCACAATACTGAGAGATGATTGGCCAGTTTTGTCTGAACTATGACAACAATAACAACTGCATTGCCATAACATTATAAGAAATACTTTTTGACAGTGATGATGCATAAAGTGCAATTTTAAAACTGTTTATGCAGAGCCATGGCAACATATCATGGGAGGTATTTTTATGTCTTTCACAAGTAATCAGTGCATCACAGCCACCTATATAAACAAACATTTAAAAAGATCGTAGAATTGATCTTGTGCCAGTAAAAAAAAAAAAATCAGGTTAATCTAATTCTGGCATCTTTTCCACTCTATTATGGATTCTTATCAGTAAAAGGCTCCTGGCACTAATTAATCACACACTCAAGAATCCGGGAAATATGTGGCTCTTCCTTCTGATAGTAAAGAATCCACAATGAGGAAATGATTTGTGTTTCTGCAAACATATTGAGGATTTTTTTTGCCTCACAGACCCACTTCAACCACTCTGACTCAAGGTTTCCCAGTGAAATGTGCTATTTTTGGCAACAGCGCACACAGCTATCTAGATATAGAGGCTTTTAAACTAGCTTAACTAGCTTGTTTATTATTTGTTTGACCCGAGTTTGCCCCTCAGACACATAAAGCCTGCTCTCCCTGATATCTGTGATTCAATGGGGACCAGTAAACAGGCCTCACAATAAGGGAGTTAAATCATGACCAAACCGAGTCTCATCCAGTTTCTCCGGGCATATTTCCTACTTTTAGTGGAAGTCCCAATCCTGTGGGGTGTCTTAATGCTGTTACCACTGTGCTCCTGGTAATGAAATCAAGCTGCAAAGGAGGACATCTAAGGGAATAAGGACATGACTAAGGATAGAGAGTTGCCTTTGCAGAAGTCTTTCACCCAATATCAATCAGGCCCATCTGTTTTTGACTTAGAGCTGCAGCAATTTGGTATGTTATTTAAAAACAAATCACTGCAGTTTCATACCAGAAAGTAGACGGATAATGTTTAAGTTTGAAGTTTTTTTAATTGTTTTTTTGTTTGTTTGTTTGTTTTAGGTAATAATCAGTGTTAACTGTCAATGAGAGGCTCTGACCATGATAATAATAAGAACTGGCAGTAAAAGGACGAGCGTCGAACTGCAGTGAGGTTTGACACCTGTCAGGTTTAGTTTCTCTGAAATATTTATCCTGTTCAAGAGACACCTTTATCATATTGTGTGTAACTACCTGATAATGTCAAGAGAAGAATATAAAATGTTGTTGACATAAATATGGACTGAAATGAACAAGTCTTTTCTGAAGCAGGTATCCTAAATAAATAAATAATCAAAGTATAGTTTGTATTTTAAGTGTAGGTGTCAGTTAAAATGGTAACATGAGAAAAAAAGACACCCCTGCTCTGCCACTGATAACTGAGGGTGTTTATAAGTGGCTCACCAGAACATTGCACTTCTCTGCAAACACAAACTCCATCAGCAGCTTTTTTTGACTGAGGTGGCTTAACTGAGGGATGACACAGATTATTCAGGAGTGTCATTGAAAATATACATCAAAATAGCAATTATTTACTACCTATGTCTGCACTTAAAATTACTTATATAAGTGTTGAGCTGTACAATGCTGTTTTACTTGAAGGCTAATCAAGTAAAACGAAGCAGATAAACAGTATAATTCAAAAAATTACTCAGTATCAAGCTGTGCACATGTTGGAGGAAAAAAAGACAGATGAATTCCAGCACTTACGTTTTATACAATATGTTGGCGATGGTCAAGAACTTAGGTAATGCTTGTGTTGGCTAGTTACCCAGAAAGATGGCTACTTGTTGCTAGATAACAGCAACTGTTGCAGAGTTTTCTCTCAAGAAATCAAAACAGCAGAAAAGACAGGCGCAGCTGAAAAGTACGGTGATGTCGAAATTTATTTATAGCCAGCTTCCAAAGGTGCAGTGCAAAAATATTTCCAAAAAAAGAGCAAAAAGTGGTCAAAATACTATTTACAACAATGTAAAAGGCAAAAATAAAAAACAAAAATAAATAAATAAAAACACAAATAAAAAACTCTTAGGCCACTAAAGAGACCCGCGCCAGTCAAGGAATGATGGGGCGTTTGACGGGCTAACGTCACAGCAACCAACAGCGCATGTCAGATGTTATATAATTTCACATACATACACATAAGTAAAAAAGTGAAGGGTCACCGCTCAATCTGGAGAGGAGGTGCAGGATTAGCAAAAACTTTAAATTAAAAAGAGAGAAACAATCCGCACACTTCTGGTCTGTTGCAAAAAGAGCTTTACTGAAGCAAGCTGTCGGTCTGTTAGATGATACCTTGATGAAGGTCTAACAGACCGAAAGCTTGCTTCAGTAAAGCTCTTTTTGCAACAGACCAGAAGTGTGCGGATTGTTTCTCTCTTTTTACATAAATACACATAAAATTAAATATCCAGATATGTTCAATATGGAATAGGCCTATTGTGGTCTTTAAGTCCAATTGGTGTTGTACAAAATCTGAGACATATCTCAAACACTGAGCTCAAATTGGAAATGAATTTTGTTTGGCATTCAAAATACGGCATCAGCCATCCATACTCTGATAATATAGTTGGTCCATTTTCAGAGATGAGACATGTTCAGATATGTCATCTTAAAATTCTGTGGTCAGAAGATAATCCAGCACAGATTTCATTATGGGTCAAATATCTGGAATGGTCTGAATTTGACTGGTCTGTAATCAGAGGAATTGTACGCTACATTAAGAAATATTAGAGAAGAAAAAGATTTCATTTTTCTCAACACTTGTTTGGTTTATATAGTTTTCTTTGCAGCCTGGTAGGCAGGAACACAATACAGCTGAAATGCTGAGTTGAAGTCATACATGTATGAGCAAACATGCAGGCCTTCACTCATTGTGACCTGAAGACTTTGTTTTCGACCTGATGTTGTTCTGTCCTTATGGCATGATCGACAGGATTGATTAATTTCCCAGAAGTGTGGACTGTGAGAGTGGGTTGCCTGCACAGGTCTGATAACAATTGGGACTTTGCTGTTTGCAGTGAGATCAGCAGCTCAATGGATTGGTCAGGTGGAGTAATAACAGCTGGGCATTGGTGTGAGTTGGTTTTCTGCCACATGCAGTGTGTGGAGGTGCTGTTTACTCATGTCCCAATGTTATTTTGAGCAAGCTATTGCAATAAACTCCTTCAACCTGCAAGTCACGAAGCTTCAGCCATTACAGGACATCTGCAGGTTTGGCAAACTTGGGCACAACCGTAATTCAGGCATGTACCTTATGTGTCTATCGTTAAATGCATGTGTTTGTCTGTTTATCATTGCTAAAGCTGATTTTAACCAAGTACATGCTCTGTTATAAAAACATCTGTTTACGCTGCATACAAAAGCTTTGTTACCAACTTAAATTTGCGTGTTGTTTGCAGGTTTTTTTTTTTTTTTTTTTAACATTTAGTGCATAAAAGATGCAAATCTAAGTCACTGTAAGATGAGATGTGTCACTGTGTAAATCACAGCTACAAATGCAAATCCGAAACAGAGAGGAAAATAAGGATAGAGTGATGGTGTTTTTATGCAGCATCTCCCACTAATGTCATGCACAGACTGCTGTCGGCGGCAGCAGCAGTGAGATATTTGTTTGTCTGCAGGAGGAGTGTCTGTTCTTCTGTGTGCTGTGCAACGGAGCTGTTTAAATGAATTCTTCGACCTCAGCTCTTGATCAAACAAAGAAACCTGTTTTCTCTCCTCATTATTCTTCTGCTGCTTCCTACATGCATTGTCTGCCTGTGTGCTGGGACAATGAGACAGAGAGGTCACAGTTCCCTGTGGCTTGACACTTCAGTGCAGGTTAGGTTATAAGCATCTGCCAGCACACACAACACTGTAGTTTGTGGGTTTTTCATCCTGTTGGCAGGGATGTCGTTCCATGTCATGAGTTAAGTAATATCCAGTGTTTGCATAAGAAAAGACGCATGAGCTGCTTGGACTGCATTCAACCACCACAGGTCATTCATGCGATCCTTGACTGTGAGAGGAGTTTAACCAAAAAGGGCACATGTGGAGTCAGTGGATATATTACTTCTCAAGCGCTTCTTAATACTCCCCCTTGGTCTAATACACAGCATGTTTCACAGTCACTCTGCCAGCATAGACTTGGCTGTTGGCCTATAAATCAAGAGTTGGGAATTGGGAATAAACTCCACTACAGTCTTAGCTTTGAATTTGTGACACATTGTGCCAAAAACCTCTCAGCCCAGGGAAAAAAAAAAAAATCTCTGAAGTGCTCTGAACTCTGTCTCTAAACTCAAAAGCACTTCCTGCAGACCTGAAGTTTTCATGATCCAAATGTGTCCACAGGCCATTTGTCAGATAACACCAAGCAGCTGAACATAGAAATCACATTTAACTTTGCATGGTGCTGGGCTGTGGTACATGTTAAAGGTTCTAGCACTACCCTTTATCTTGACAAAGTGGTCCATCTTCAGGAGGATCTGCTGCTTTGCAAGCTCATTAGATCTCTCCTATATCTCTGAATATAAAATAATATTATTTTTAGCTTATGATTCAATCAGTTTGTGACCCAAATTCCGTAAGTGTTGGGTTGCTTTGTAGAAATGTTGATAAAAACAGATTCTTACTCTATTAAGCCCTATATTTCCGTGAAACAATGCAAAGATGTCATTTGCTGAAAGTAAAAATAAATAAATAAAAATCATTCATTTAAATCTGATCCCAGAAACATGTTTGGGACAATGTCGGCTCACCTCTTCACTTTACAACACTCTGTATAGGTTCTGAAACATTGGAGACATTCATGTCTGATTTAAGATTGCAGGTTCTGGGTCACTTATGTTGTATTTTCTGTGTCATGATGCATCAAATATTATCAAGGGGTAACAAGTGAGGACTACAATCAGGCAGGTTCAGCTCAGACTCGTCTACTACAAAGCCCTGCTTTTGTAATATGTGCAGAATGTGGTTTAATATTTTTTGTTTAAACCCTCCTGAAGGCAGCATGTTACCCCAAAACCTGGATATATTGATTAGCTTCCTTTGCAGATGTGTGAGCTACCTACCCTATGGTCAACACTGCATGGATTATTGTATTTGAACTGTACGCTGATAAGAAGCCAGGTGGTCCCCTTCCACTTTAAGTTAGAGGACACTGACTCACCATAATTTCCACAAAGATCGTCAAAAGGCCCACAGATGTTCCTCTACATTTAGCAATCAAACATGCTCACAGACTTAGATTTTTCAGTATGGAGTCCATGCGGTGATTTCCACGACAGAGTCACATCTGCTTTCAGAGAAGTGCAGCCTGAGGAAGATCACAGCCAATTAAAATTGAGTATTAGTTTCCTGCCTCGCCCCTTTGTACATAGATCTGTCCAGGTTCTCTGAATCTCTTCTTAATAGCTGATATTAAGAGTTTCATGTGTTAAGCTAGTTATATGCAAGCCAGCCCAGACATGTTTAATTTAAGCCTTAAATCCACAGGATGCATGGTGTTCATGGTTAGTGCATGTATACTAAGAACAAAACCTTTATTTAAGACCTTGTGAATGTATAAGGATGAAAATGTGTCAGCCAAAAGCCCCCAGAAGGACTAGGCATCCATGGACAGCTTTCAAGGTGGAAGAAATGTTTGATTCATGTGGGAAAATCTGAAGGGCCAGAGGACCTGCTTTCGTGTTTGTATCTACTCCATCCTTGAAGTTGGAGCCAAGTTTTTGAGAGGCTGACCCATTCACAAATCTTTAATCTTGTATCCAGGTTGGCATGTGTGGGCCAGCGCTCACTGAAGCAGTCAGCTTTACTTCAGCCCATTCACAGATATGTTTTGACAGCACTGAGTGTTTGACGAAAGCAGAGAGTTTGACTGAGAGAAGGTTCTTTACAGCTGAGAGCGTTTGTGTCGGTACATCACAGTTTCACTCTGGTCTGTTAAGATTTTGTGGGATCCTGTTGCTGACTCATCTATTGGGATTGACACAGTATGACTTATAAAAAATATCTTAAAACACCCCAATACTACAGAGAGCAAGAATGTTCGCACTTACTACTTGTTTCTGAATCTCTATGTATGTGACAAAACTTAAATAAAATTATACATTTTATAAATGTGTAATTTCTATGGCCCTGTAATCAATCCAGAACCTTCTTTTCCACTTTGCTTACACCCTGCACAATGTCTGTTTTGATAATAGGTAGTTACCATTAAGAAATTGGAAATAGGACCTGAAATTTAAAGTAAGCATTATAGTTAAATTAAGGCTTGACATTGTAAAATCTCTAACTCTACCATGTCAAGATTGACCTTCATGATATCAATGTTTTTACAAATTAGTGACGGGAATTACGGCTCTTTTTAGTGAGCCAGATCATTTGGCCCAGTTCACCTTTAGGGGCAGTTCTTTCAGTTCCCAAACAGCTCTTCATTTTACCTCTTGTACATTTTCTGATTCAGTCAAATTTAACGTTATCTGGCCTATGATATGTACGTATGTGTACACACTGCTTCTTAAATAATTCAATACATCCTTTGTACTGAAGTATTCACAAGTCAAAATGACACTTTCTAATATCAGTAAATTGCTGTAGCCAATAGTTTTCATTGCATTTACAGACTTGCTTGTAGAACAACCTTGTTACATAAAGCAGCAAGAAATCCCGTCATTCTGCCATGTAGTTTTTTTCTATGGTCTGTGGGGGGAAATACAGAGAAAGGGAGAGCTCTTTGAACCGGTTCGTTCACGACCGACAGATAACTATTACAAATGTATAGAGACTAAACCTCACAGGTCAGCTGATGTGTTTATTTCTTAAACAAATACCACCATGTGGCCCATGTGCAGTTATTTCAGGAGCAGGCGGACCTACTGATTCATTAATTTTGGCTTAGTTTCCTATATCATTGGTTGTGTATCTAATATATGTATATGGACAAAGAGTTAGTCTTGATATGATAGAAAACAGTAGGTTACAAATGCAACCTTGATATCTGTTCTAATCTCAGTCAAGCAGTGAAGTCATGCGTAGCCGCACAGGGTTGCACCTGCTATCTAAAGCCAAAGTGTAGCTGAACATAATTTCTAGTTTAAGTTGGAGATAGTTATGGTTCACTGGTTGTGGTGGTCAGTGTTACTTGACTGGTGGTGGAGTGAGTTTGTATATTTGTGTGGAAGGATCTTTGCTGCTGTTGACAGATGATTGGAGGCTGTGGGCTACCTGTTATCATCCACCTCTCAGCGCTGGCATTCCTACCCCTCTTACTGACCACATCCACCAATCATGAGTTTCCAGATTTTCCTCAAAAAATCTACGAGGGACTCCCAAAACTCTCTCAGCTTAGTAAGAGTGTGTCTCTTGCATTTGTTTGGCTGCATTGTTTGAGCCCTGGTCTTTTTACCTCTGTATTTTCAGGTTGAGACACTAGTTAGGGATATCGGAGTGTTTATTTTGGGCAATGGGCGTTTTTGGCTTTTGTTGCCTGTTGTTAAATTTCCAGAAGTTATGAGGGGCCAAAGATTTCCTTTGACAGGTAAGACCAGATTATTTAAGCAGGTTAATTTCGTTTGTTTTATTTTATCTAGACTAGACAAGGTTCCTCCAGATAGGTAAGGAGTTCTGTTTTGAGCATTTGTTAAGTTCAGTACCACCTGCCGCTCTCAACCCTTCGTTTTGAATTTTTTTTGTACTAGCTGCCTCCCGCACTACTCAGTGTTGGGGTTTGTTGCTTATTCCAGTTGTTTCACTTGTGTAGATTACAATAAATCACTTGCCCTGCCATTAACACCATTGGTGCTTTGTGTTGCTTCCCTTTTCCCCTACACTCACTATGTTGTAACATTAATGGGACCTTGCCTGGGATAATATCAAGGCATTCTTGCTTGACATCAAAGAAACAAACAGACAGATAAGTATTATTGTTGGTAAGAAAACTGTTGATTGGTGTTAATATGGCCTTGTTTAATTTGGATAACCCGCCTATCACCAGACTGATGTTTGTAGAAAAGATGATCCAATAATGATTGCAGCCCACTTCATTATCTCTGTTCCCAAACAGCAAATCAAAAGAGAGCTTAAGGCTTAAAAAAACTAGTGGAACAGGAGGTGCTTGTTCAATCATTGTCTGCAGAGTTAAAGGCTCTTAGGCTGCCAGCACCCTGACTGACAGAAGTCGTGAGGATGCCCTTGATGTAGTTTCGAAGCAGCCGGAGACTAATATTTCTGCTCCGAGTGCTGCCTTGAAGGTGGCGGGCCAGGTGAAAACCCCAGTTATTCTGCCTTGGTTTGACCCGTTGTCAACCTCCTTATCGAGCTCAAGGGATGCGGAATGTTTGAAAGTGTGCCTCCACTTGGCAGCACAAGAGAAAGCTCAAGACCCTCAGGCAGAGCTTGAGTACCGCCTCAGAGTAAAAAAGATGGAGATAGAAGCTGACAAAGCAGTGAGGCTGCGTCAGTTGGAACTGAACTCACGGAAAGAAGCACGTTTTTCAAATGAAGTGGATGTGACTGCAAGTGCTTCTAATTTTTTTTTGTCACCTCATAGTATGTTTGATATTAGTAAATATACTGGCTTGGTACCAGTTTTCAGGGAAGCTTAGGTGGATGTGTGCTGTAGCGCACTTGAATTACTTCCGAATTACTAGCGAATTACTTATCCTAGTTGGTCCTGAAATGTGTGGTCACTCTTGGCTCAAAAGGTGGTTTTTGGCGCTCTCACTGTGAGGGCTGCGATTTTGCATGCATATGGTCTGGTCCTCAAAACGTAGGGTGACCATGCATCCTCTTTTACCTGGACATGTCTTCCTTTGGGGGCTCCGTAATCACAAACAACATCTTAGTACTACTTAAGTTGTGCACCCCTTATAAAAAAACACTTGACCTGAACCAAAAACCCTCAAAATTTTTCACGCACAGGTGCACAACTCTGCCCCACGAAGTTGTGTTCTCTTTTTGGTGATTCAGAATATGGTCATCCTATTGAAACATACAGGCTAAAGTTCCATACAAAAAGTCCCAGAACCAAACCCACGTTGAGTATAATGGGAGAAGGGAAACTTGTCTGATAAATGGTCTGTTGACATTTTAGGGTTTGCACCAAGTGAAATAGTTTAAGTTCAAGCATTAGTTTCCACAGGTCTAAAGTCCTGCATACAGCACCGACTGTTAAAGTGTGTCACTGCCAAAAACAATAAAAATTTAAAAAAAAAAAAAAAAAAGTTAATTTGGAGTTTTTCTGGCTGTTTTGTGTCAACAAAAACAGTAAAAATTACACCAATTAAAATTGTATATGATGCTTTGGATCTTTTTTTCTCCTAGTGGTGATAATTTCACTTTAAACTAATGTACTATATGTTGTAGATGATGATCTTCTAGATAATCACCTTATCACAGTGGTTGAGTAAGGGAGTGGCCATGCACCCTTGAGACTCTAGTGGCCGCAAATGATTAGCTATTGCCCGTCAAACACAACTCTACTCTGGGTTGTGTGAATAAAAGCTGATTGCAGCTTCTTTGCAGCACAGCCTTAGGTTGTTACTGGTCACGTGCCTTCCTTTGGTATCATATTTTACATGCCTTACACTACTGCTCACAAACTAAAAGGAGTGTTAATTTACAGCTGTTGGTCTGCTGGAATAATTCTGAGGCCTTGACTGCATGGACTTCCTCTATTTACAACTGAAGCGTTGCTCTGGATCAAAATAGGACAGAGCTGAGGAAAGTTTTCAGCCAAAAGTTTACTGGTGCCTCACAGAATGAAAAAGGAACCATTGCTTTGCCTTTGGGAGTCACTCGTATGTAGCAAGTCCCCTAGAGTTGGTGCAATCCTGCAGAATTCTCAGCCAACCATTGTGCTAATGGAGTTGCAGAACTATCTCCTGCAGCGAGGGGAGAGAGGCTCAAATGAGGCTGGGGAATGACAGGCAATAGACTGGAAAATACGAGGAAGAGAGAGGGGAGATTGGCTCAAGCTGATGTGTTTATTTGCCACTGTGGGTTCCTGGTAGAAATCTTGGTGGGGAAATACATTTTAGGTCCCACATGTGTAAGAAAAATGGACATAGGCTGTCTCCTTCCATAAGAATCAAACTGGATGATGTGAATATTGGTCTTTTTTGGGTTTCAAAAGTTCACCGAGTGCTTAGAGGGAGGTTTGAAATTGAAATCCTTCCATGCAGTAAACCGGTTTTGTGCATGGAGTACAAAGCTGCATCAGTCACGTTGGAGCTGGAATCACTTTTTTGCAGCTATTGTGACAGATAGACAACTTTTATTTATAATTGAATTGTTATTGTGAAATGAATGGACTAGGTTTGACAGGTAGGATGATTGTGAAAGTGTTACTGAGGGCAGTAGATGAAGGTAATGACAAAAGGCATGCTGGGAAAAGCACAAAGGTTTTTTCTCTAACAGGTGTCAACACATAAGCTTTGGATTGTCAGTTTGATTTCCAAGAAACCAAATTTGAGAAAACTTGGCTTTTTCCCAAAGCTGTAATGAACCATAAAACTAACCCCTGTTGCCTGTCATGACAGCTCAGCATCTGCGTCTTTTGTATATCAAAGAACAAAATGAAGTCTTTATTAAGCTGTGAAACAATCGCACAATGTAATGTGGTCGCAAAAAAACAGCATTATTGTCTCTGCGCTGCATGTTCGCGGTTCAAAGAAAAGAAGGACGCGTCATGGTGCTATTTAACTTGTCATTCAGAAAATGAAAAGACACCCTACGCCACATATAAAACAGCTAACCTAATGTATAGCATCTTTCAAACCTAACCAACTCTAAGAGCCTGACACACTGATTCATTACATAACAGCTAACTGCTGACTCACATGCTATTAAACGATGATTCCCTGTTAACCTTTCATCCTGTGCCAGCAAACAAAGCAGTCGCCTAGAAGACTAATGACACATCCAATATAGCGGGGTTTTATTCAATTAGTCCTGGTGACATGGAGATAAGTACACAGGGTTTGGAGGGTTAGAGGCTCATGCAGAGAGGTGCAGTTACAGAACAAAAAGTTCAGCTTATCAGAGGAAGTTTAACACCAAAAGACAAAAACAATGTTATATTGAGTTTAAAAAAAGGCAGATAAAGAACTGCTTTATTTTAAAGCTCCTCCGCAGGGCTGTTGGCTGCCGTACTCCCTTGCATTTTTCCATTAGCATTTTGATAAGCTCCCAAAAAAAGCAGCAGCTACTGTCTAAGGTCTTTCAGTCACAATTTCTCTGTTTTTTTTTTTTTTCTTAGACAACAAGTATAACTGGTTCCAAAGGTTTTTCTTCTGGTACAGAAAAGCAATGCCCCAACTGATGCTTGACAAGTATTTATTTTCTCTTTTTACCAGCAAACACTGTGACAAACTAAATGAAATACACAAAACAAGAATTTGCTAAACATCAAATAAATCCAAAAACTTAAATCAAATGTCCATACAAATAAAAAATACCATAAAGTACAGTGTGCTCCTTCTGACCAGAAATTTAAGAGTCATTACAGTCTTTTAATTCCCATGAATTGCCATCTTCACTGTCCTACTTTGCTACTTTCTGACTGCATATGCATATACCTAAATTGGTCATGTGGCTACTGCATGCTTAGTATTTAGTGCAATACTCCATATGTTTAGATTATGTGTTCATTGGCCTCCTACATCGCAGGCTCTGCAATATGACTATCGCGCTCACATACATTGTGATGACAATGCTCAAATGACATATCGTGCAGTCCAAATACTTTATTACCTTTGTCATATTTTATCATGGTTTTATCATTTTAGTCCTAAATCCAGTGTTTCCTCATCTGTGGCACGCTGAGTCCTCACTTGAACTTTGGTGTTTGCATCTGTGTGTGTGAGCGTGTGAATGCTGTATGTGTTGAATAGTGGTTGGGAGGGTAGGTGGGGTTTGGTATTTGTATTTTTATTTTATTTCATTGTCTTTTAATATTCTGCACAAATGTTAAGCACTTTGCGCTACAGTCTATATATGAAAAGTGCTTTTAAAAAAAAGTTTGATTGATTTGATTTTGCTGCAACAAGGCGGTGATGGTGGCGTTGTTGATGAGCTGGGAGCAGATGTAGATGAGGCAGGTGAATCCGTGTTGCGAGAGCTTTTTTTTTGGCTTCCCCATGGTGCAGAGTCTGTTGTAGTCATTGTCAATGTAGTCCTTAAGATGATCCAGGTCTATATTGTAATCTGGTTGAAGTGGTGCACATGTTAGGCAAAAGGAGGAGAGTTTACAGCAAAAAAAAGTTTTGGGAATAAAAAGTTTGTTGTGTTAATCTAGCAACGACTTAATAATTAACATTTATTAAGAGTAAACTTTTTTGTCACATTGTCAACAGACAGGTGAAATCATAAACTTTTTAAACATGCCAGAATGACTTTTGATGCTAAAATAAAGTTGTAATGAAGTTGTTGTGTTTGCTAATGAAACCAAAGACATTAAGTTTGTGAAGTTGTTAATTTAGCCAGCAATTACCCAAGCATCCCATCTTTGAACAGTCTTTCTGGAGTCCTGAGTACTTAAAATAATGTTGTACAGATGTGCCAAAGCATTAATTATTATTCAATCAGACACTGCATATTCCTTATTATGTTACAGGCAGCTGGATGCTCATCATAAACCAACAATTTAACTTAGTATAGTTTTATTTTTATATTATTTGGACTTTACTACGACTTTATTCTATTAGCAATATGTATCAATATTCTAACCATTTTTTTACAACTGTATTCTTATATAAAAAAATTACCACAACTTGATTCTGATAAAGTATTTATTTAACTGTGACTTTATTCTTGATACAGAATGTGGGCCTTTGACTTTGATGCTCTGATGTGTTTTGGAGATGGATTAGATATCGTGTATGTGATCAGGCTGCCCCTTCTGCTGTACAAAGTTATTTACTGTTGTAAGGGGAGTTTTGACCAATCAGAATCAAGCACTAAGTGATTGGACATAAAGTTGAGAAACAAGCTTTAAAGCAAGGATCAACAGTCTTATCGCTGAAGAGTCAAGAGTATATGTATAGCACTTCAAAATAAAACGTATTTTCACTGGCCTTCATATGTGACTTATATGGTATGGTCATGGGCAGCATTTACCTCTCCTTGTTCAGGATATTTGGACGCAGTTTGAAGCACAGAACAGTTTATTTATTCTGTATTTCAGGGGTTGTCCTGCACAACGTGGGAGATTTAATAAAAAGGATGATGGAGGGACTTGCTTTCAGTCCACAAACAGATATACTGCACCGTCTTTTCAAGCAGGAGCACTAACACCTTACAGCAGTTATTCTCAGCCACAGCTTTACAGCTGCCATTTTGAGAGAAGGATAGTTGCTGTTGGTGTGCCTTACTGGATGTCCGCCCTGCTAGACGATGATACATTATAGCAACTATATGGTGCCACTTGAAGAAATGACTTCAAAGAAGCGACTGAGATAGCAGCTGCCCAATCAGATCTCACTTTAGCAGGATAATAGCATTCAGCTCCCTAGAGGCAGAAAAGAGGATGTGTCATAAATTATGAATTTCCATGAGAACAGATATGGATGGTGGTGTCATGCAATAATTGGCACAGCACTTAGCTCCAAGTGAAGTCGACTGGTGGCTGAGTGATGTACGCCTAAGGCACCTACCCTGAAAACACACTCAAGTGATTCGCAAAGTCAGAGTGGCACAAAGAGGTGCCCCCAATTACCGTGTTGACCCAGGGCTCGATGATGTAGCAACATCTTTTCATGACCTTCAGGGCAGCTTGGTGTGGAGCCATGGTGTGTCAAGGTCAGAGAAACCCCCTGAGATGATTGAAGATGCCCTCGAACACCATCTAATGAGTGAAAAAGCTTTTTTCTTTGAAAGTGTTGATGAAACACTAAAGGCCAGCTACACCACATGAATGTAACATCAAAGATTGAACCTTTTGGTCATTCCCATACAAGATGAAGTAAAGAAAGAAAAGTGCCTCAGGCAGCCAATATGATGAAATTCCAGCAAAAGTTTAATGCATTTTATTCTGTTAGGATAGAGAGTTTCTAGACCAGGAGAACCAAGTACCAGTTTCGAGCTGAATGAAAACTACCCCATTAAAACAATATCTGCAAATCACTCAATCAACTCTGCTTCTAATGGTTTTGAAGTGATTGTGATCAGCCTCAAAGCTCCAACCCCATCACTTCCTGCAGATTAAAACTATGCAGAATTGGAGAAGCCTGCAGATGGATGCTTGAGGAGTGATAGGATTTAGAGCATGCAGGGCAGCAACGGCAAGAGGAAAAACACCTGCAATTTTGCAGCTTCTTTGAAAACACCAAACTGTGAGGGTTTGTTTTCAGGTGTTTATAGATGATAATGCTTAAGTCAGTGCACCCCAGATTGTTTGCAGATTTGCCTTAGTCACTATTTTCTTTGGTAGTTTAATGATGTTCATTATGTCTTCAGTTTCTTAGAAATAGTTTTCTATTAGTTTTCTTTTTTTTCTTTATCTCAGACATGTAATCTTTTTCACGTACCTCAACATGTTCTGGCAGAGACTTCCGTCTCCCTCAGTGGTGACACTTCTGTCACTTGGTGACAGAATTGTCACTTGGTGACACCCACTTTTTCTATTTTCTTTTGTATATTGAGATGATAATGACTTTTTTGTCTCCCTGACAGTATTCTTCAATTGAAAGTGACTTTTTATTGGTCCACTTACCCATTCATTCTTGGATGCTAAATTCAGTTTAGTATATGAACTAGCTGGTTTCTTACAGCAGACAGTTACATTCTGTAGTGTTCATAAGCATGGCTGTGCTACAACCTTGCAGCAATGAATACCATAAACTTGCTTGTATTAGAAAGACCCCCTGTGCCCCTCTCTCAATATAAAGGACAAACACACGTCTATGTTGCCTCTTATTTCTAAGGTTTAGATAAATTCCAGTCTTGCATTCAACAGAAGCATTCTACAGAAATTGCTCTACTTAGGGTACTAGATGATCTGTTGATAAAGACAGTGCTAGTTTTACTGGTATAGGACCATTTTTCCTATTTCAGTCGAACATTTTCAGTCGCTGCTGATAGATATTTTAAGTAGAAAGTATAACAACCTTTTTATAAAATCAATTTTATTGGTTCAAAAATAAATAGTTTTTTTAACCATTGATTCTCATGAATCCTTGGTAAGCAAATAAAGTTTAATTTCTTATTATTAAAAGTTTTTTTTCTTTAAATTACTATTTTCAACTATTCAACACAAGCAATTAAACTAACATTAGCATCCCTCATCAGTGAAGTGAAGTTTGAGTGACAGAAAACAAGAGTTGGGTCCTCTACAAACAAAATTAGCCAAAGAATAGGAGCAGATCTTTTATGTAGATTGGAAATAATAAAGGTACTGGAATAGACCCATGTGGGACCCCACAAGGTAGTTTGACTCTGTAAGAACTACATTTTTTACATAATAATTTGAATATTGAATTAATTATACCCATAGACTGTATATAGAATGGACAGAGCCTGCCTCCTTGCTGGGTGAAGCCACTCCGAGAACAGCACCCTCTGTTGATGGGCTGCAGTATAGGTCATAAATCCTGCCTCAGCCAGCAAAGCGTATGGGGCTGTGGACAAACTTTAGAAATTTATTACACAGAACATAAATTTTTCTCCCCCCTGCTTGTGGTGTTGACATGAAGTTACTGTAAGACTGGTTTGTGCTCAAGTCCTCTTTTTTCTGTGATGATCTGTGTTTAAAAGTTATTAGGGGGTTCATGTTTTCTATGATTGACACCTGATACAGCCTATGGGCGTTCAGGGATTGCATAGCTCTCACGGAGGATACGCTGTTTGAGCCGAGCGTCATCACAGCGACTCTCTGCGACTGCGCGCCTGAATGTGTGCATCACTACTGCGCAGCTCTGGTTTCAGGAAATGAAGAAAAATCCCGGAAATACCAAGAGCTTTTTGGCTTCAAATCTGTATACAGGTGGTAGGCGGAACCAGGTTGTCCATAGTATATACAGTCTATGATTTTACCCTGAAAAACACTCTTTATTTGATAAAACCCAGAGCTCTTTTTACTACCTTGAAAGTTAAGTCCTTTCAAAATTTTGCACTGTGCATTCAAGTTTTTTAGATGTAAAATAACAAACGCTTAGCATCCAACATTACTTTTTGTGCCAATTTTCTTCCCTTTTTTTGTTTCATCCTTCAAAACAACACTTCCCTAAGAGAATGAACCTGACTCCAGACCTCTGCTGAGTTCAGGGCCGCCTCAGTGTTCTGTCCTTTCTAAAATAACAGGATAGGATGACACTCAAATGTCGAAGATCTGAGCTCAATCTCATTCTCTTTGCTCTCTGCCTCTTGTTGTTTTCCTGCAGGTTAAAGAGTGAACACATGAGCTTGAAGACTTCATCCTCAGCACACACTGAGACGACACCTCGCACCGCTCATCCGTGGGAGGAGGGGGAAAGACTTGGGATTGTTTGTTGCCCGCAGGAGGAATTCAAGGTCAGTACACGGTGTGCACACATACTCAGAGAGGCACACACACACAAAAACAAACAGGTTTCAGAGCAAATAAATAGATAGGGCACCTTTTATTTGTATGTGTTTGTTTTAAAGAGGAGTCAAGTAAGTTGATAAGGTTTTATGCATGAGCTGCTTCACTGCGAGAAAATAATTGGAGAAAAAATTAACTCAAGTAAAATATTTGTTCAATATCTTACAGAGAATAACAGATTTTTTTTCACCAAAGTGTTGTGCATTTGAAGGAAAGGAGTTAATGACAGCTGCCTGCTCTCTCTTCCCCTTTAATATGCCTTGTTTTTATTCTCATATTGCCTTATTATCCTTCATTGAGTCCTCTTTTCTTTCCCAAAATTGTCATCTATCTACAGAAAATCACTACTCCCAAAGAAATGCAGACTTTCCAAGGTTTTTTTCTCTCTTTTTTTTCCCTGTGAAGTCCACACACTTGGAAGAATTTGGGTTTTAATTGCTTCCCCATAGATTGCTGCTTCACTGAGAAACTGGGTTAATTGCATTAGAGGAAAAAGCCACTCGTGACCTTCATTGAGCGCTGTAACCACAGCAGTAGGACTGCAGTGTGGGTGCTGCAGTGTTCTGCATGAAAAAAAGGTGATGGTCCGTGGATGTCTGCTTGTTTTATATGAAAACCGATGTCAGTATAAAAAAGCGTTTCAAGGTGTCAGTCGTGCAAAGCTTCCCTGACAGGATCATGTTTACTGTGTAATTCCTCAGCCTACACGTGTCAGCGTCAGGGCAGCAGCATATGGAGCTGCTCTGTGGTGTGATCGCACTACACATTGATTGGTGTCTCCTAAGTTGCTTGGAGGTGGAGAATAAATGGAAAGTAGACTCAGAATGTATCAGCCCAAAATCTACAATAACCTCGCTAACTTCTTGTTCCCGAGTTTTTCATCTTCCCTTTGTGATTTATTTTCAGAGAGTCGATCAGGCTTCATTTTTCATTTATATTCAGTCAGCAGAACAGAGGAGGATTCAGCTCGGACAGCTCTGGCAGGAATCAATCAGTCCTGCACCAGCTCAGCCTGTCAGCTCTCTCTCTCTCTCTTCATCCTCTAACCCCCCCCCCCCCCCCATCCTTTTTTTCAGTTTTCACTGTCATTCTCTCACCTCTTTTACTATATATCATTTATTTTGTTATTGCTGCAGTCTCCTCCCCTTCTTCTTTCCTCCATTCTCCCTGTTCCTATATTTTCTTCTTTCCTCCAGTCCCCCTATTTTCCTTTCTTCACACCTTCCTTCTTTCTACTTCTCTGCAGTCTTTCCTACTTCCTATCTGCCCTCTTTCCACCTTTCTTTTGATCTTTCTTTCTTCCTTAATTTCCTTCTTTCCTTCCTTCCTTCTTACTTTTCTTTCTGCTTTCCTACTGATCTGTCTTTTTTGCCCTTATTTTCGTTCCTTCCCACCTTCCTTCAGACTCTCTTGTCTTCCTTTCTTCCTTCTTGTCTGTCTTCATAACCTTTCTCCCTGCCTCCCTTCCTTTCTACCTTTTATTGTATTATTTCCTTATTTGCTCTTTATTTCTTTTATGCTTCCTCACTTTTATCCTCCTTTTTCTTTACACTTCTTTTTTGTCTTTCTGTCTTTTCTTACTTTATTCATTACTTCCTTACTCCTTATTTTTTGTTTGTTTTAATCTGTTTCCATATTTCCTTTCCCCCTCTCCTGTTTTTCTTTCTATCCTGTCTTTCTGTCTTTCGTTTTTTCTAATCTTGCCTCCTCCTTGTTGCTGCAACCTTTGCTTATTCTTTCCACACTTCTACTCTATTAACCTCCTGCCTCTCTGAAGTCTTGTCTTCTTTCTATCCATTTATTCTACCTTTTCTTCTTTTCTATCCTGTCACCCTTCTTTACCTATTATGTCCCTCCTTTTCTACCATCCTTCTTCTCCTCTCACTTCCATCCTTTTACTCACTGTTTAAACCTCATAACTTGCTTCCTCCCTCCTTCCCTGTCCTCTCTCAGTCCCCCACTTTATTACTACCTCCCTCTTTTGTCCCCCTCTCTGTTCTCTCCCTGACTTTTCTTCAGCTCAGCGTCCCAGTGATGTGACTGGCTCACACAGAGCCAATGATAGCAGGAGATGAGGTTGGGGCCATGACATCCCCCTGAGGACTTGATGACTGGCACAAAGTCCTTGTAGAATATTCTGCCAAGTTTTGTCAGGAGCCAAGGATAATAATACCTGTTTTATAGGTTGAGAATCTCAGGGCACTGTGAAGGACGAGCAGGGTCAGCTGAGAACACAGACAGACTGCAAACGCTGTTGGACTACCAGAGAGGTGTTCATCCAAATAGAGGGGAAATTAGGCGACATCTGACTCCTAAGGGATGTGAGTGGGTTTTACCATGCCTCCTTATCGCTCTCATTGGTCCAGAACATTTTATTTTTCACTCCATCTAAAGAGTATTTGCTCTTGAGGGATATTGAACAATAGAATATCAGTTAAACTGAATGAAAAATTAGGTAAGATATGGTCGATGTGTGTCTGTCAAATCCCTTCACAAATAAATATTCAAGTGTCCTCTGGTTTGATGACAGCGGTGTTAATCATTATTGGCAGCTCAGACAGTTGACACTGGGCAGCCAGTGTGGTAAAGCTAATGAATGCAATGAGGCAGGGTCAATTTCAAGTAATGAGCTTAAGTGCTTGGCTATGTGAACTGGTGAACTGAAACTCAGATGCATTTCAGCAAAACATAAGAGTGTTACTAACATCCATTTAAGCCTACAGTATATAAATTACATTTGTAAACTCAAAGGTTCACTGGCAACTGATCTGAATCCAAACTTAGTGTATAAAACAGCATGGTGCAAGGCTTTAAACATGCAAGGTACCATCAGTTTTGTTTTTTTTGTCATGACCCGGCTCAAAGGCCATGAAAAAGATTGCGAGGCGTACGGGTTTAAACTTAAAACGGAAGATTTATTAACAACAAAGATTAAGTAAATAATTGAATACCCAAGAAAAGAACTAAACTAACAAAGCTTCTAAACTAAAACAAAACATTGTGCCACGAGGATCACTGCCGTGGTGCGCAGCGGAGGAGGGAGAGAGAGACACTGATCCTTGATGAGGGCTTTTAACACCTGGTGGAATGGCCAGATCCACGCAGGTGTGGCCAAGCCCACTCACCAACCTGCCAGGGAGAGAGAAAAGACAAAGAACAACAGCAAACCCTGGAGGCCGGAGGCCATCACAGGCAGGAGGCCGTCACACCCCCCTCCATAAAAACGGGGCTCCCATCCCCGGAACCATAAACAATCCCTCTGAAAACAAGGTTCACTTGTAACTTACTAGTTGATTGCAAAACAAGAGAAAAACATTTAACTTTTTTTTTTTTAATCATTATTATCAATACTATGTACTTAACCATTACTTTACAAAACTTACCCAGGCTCACAATATCATTTTACTCTCTTCAAGAAAACTTACCCAATGCTCATTATTTATATCCCCATCCTGACCTGCATGACACCCCTCCCACCTCAGCAACCTGGTACCTAGGAGCAATTTAAGAGGGGGGAAACGAGGGAAACAAGTTGCAGAAAGAGTACAAAAAAACAAAAAACATGGGTAACTCACACGGCTACAACACTACACAGGTGCTCTGGACAAGGCGTCTGCCACCACATTGTCAGAGCCCTTGATGTGTCTAATGTCCAGCCAGTGCGACTGGAGATAAAGTGACCACCGGACTAATCTTTGATTTGGACACTGTAACGTATTTAAAAAAACAAGCGGATTATGATCAGTATAAACCACGATAGGCACCAACCCGGACCCCAGATACACATCATAATGTTTCAGAGCCCACACTAAGGCCAAGGCTTCCTTTTCAATGGTCGAGTAATTGAGTTGGTAGGAATTAAACTTTTTTGAGAAGAAACTCACTGGCTTCTCAATCCGAAAATCATCCTTCTGTAATAACACCGCCCCCACCCCCACGTGACTCGCGTCAACCTGAAGCGCAAACGGACGGTCAAACCTGGGGGCAGAAAGGATAGGCGCGTTACACAATACTGATTTTGCCCTGTCAAACGCCAGTTGACACACGGGAGACCACACAAAGACCGCGCTTGCCTTTAACAAGTCGGTTAATGGAGCAACTACCTCCGAGAAGTTTCTGCAGAAACATCGGTAATAACCTACAAGACCTAAAAAACGCATAAGCTCTTTTTTAGTCGAGGGTACCGGATAACTTGCCACTGCTTTTATTTTTTCTTCAACAGGACGTACCGTACCCTGCCCCACAACCCTACCAAGATAAGTCACTGTCGCTTTGGCGAACTCGCATTTGGCGAGGTTGACGGTGAGACGTGCCTCAGCCAAACGACTAAATAACTTCTCAATTCGCTCAACATGCGAAGACCACGTGTCAGAAACAACCACAACATCATCCAGGTAGACTGTGCAGCCCTCCAAATCTCCTAAGACTCTAATCATAAGCCTTTGGAAGGTTGAAGGGGCATTACGAAGCCCAAAAGGCATTACCTTATATGAAAACAAACCAGTCGGAGTGATAAATGCCGATAACTCACGCGCACGCTTGGACAAAGGGACTTGCCAATAACCTTTCAAAAGGTCAAACTTGCTCACATATTTGGCATGGCCCACCTGATCGACACAGTCCTCCATACGGGGAAGAGGGAAGGAATCCGGCTTTGTAACAGCGTTTAATTTTCTAAAATCAGAACAAAACCTGGGCGTGTTATCTGATTTTGGAACCAAAAGGCAAGGCGACGCCCAACTTGAAGAGGAGGGTTCAGCTATTCCGTTTTCAATCATATATTTTATTTCAGCATCCATGTATTTACGTTTTTCGGGGTTCACCCTATAGAATCTTTGCCTGATTGGCTGCGCATCTCCAACATCGATGTCGTGCTCAATCAAGTGCGTCTGTGTGGGTGTGTCACTGAACAAGCCCGGGAAAGATTTTATTACCCGACACAAATCTGCCTGTTCTGACTCTGCTAAATGCCCCAAGAGGACGTGTAAATTCCTCAGGGACTCCGAGTTGTTTAGGCGGCCTTGAAGGACAGCGGTATCAACACACGGCAAACCATCCTCCACCTCAGCGGACACCGACTGTGGGGGATAAACAGTGGACACTCTCCCCACCAAACAAGCGGGATGTGCACCAGCTGGGACAGGCTCTTGGGAAGCACCTGAAACACGAGCATAATATGGTTTTAACAAATTCAAATGGCACAGTTGGACTTTTCGCCTTCGCTCAGGTGTCGAAATAAGGTAATTGTTTTCCGATACTTTTTTCGTCACTTTATAAGGCCCCGAATACTTAGCCTGAAGTGGCGAATTCACCAGCGGCAACAAAGCTAAAACTTGGTCTCCCATACTAAAAACACGGTGTTCAACACGCCGGTCATAGAGACTTTTCATTTTCTCCTGAGCTGCGGTTAAGTTTTCCTTTGCCAATTCACCAGCAGCATACAGTCTATGACGGAACCCATTTACATAGTCTATAAGATTTTTCGGTGCATCTGCAACCTTCCACTCATCGTAAAGAACCTTCAGTGGCCCACGCACAACGTGACCAAACACTAACTCATTGGGACTGAAACCAGTGCTCTCCTGCGTTACCTCTCTGGCCGCCAGCATTAACCATGGTAATCCTTCCTCCCAATCTCTATCAAACTGAACGCAATAAGAGCGCAGCAATGATTTTAATGATTGATGGAAACGCTCCAAAGCTCCCTGACTCTGAGGATGATAAGCAGAGGCTTTGTTGTGCTTAATATGGAGCTGTTTCAACACTTGAGCAAAGAGATTGGAGGTAAAATTTGACCCTTGATCAGACTGGATCACTTTTGGAATGCCGAAAATGGAAATGAATTGTGACAGCGCGCGCACTACTGAACGCGCAGTGATCGTGCGCAATGGATACGCCGCAGGGTAACGGGTGCTTTGGCACATGACAGTCAACAAATATACCGCACCAGAACGAGAGCGAGGGAGTGGCCCGACACAATCAACGATGAGGTGATCAAACGGCTGATTTACTGCAGGAATCGGGAGCAGAGGAGCAGGTGTAATTTTCTGATTCGGTTTTCCCGTGAGTTGACAGGTGTGACATGTTTTAATATAAGACGCTACATCTGTCTTAAGTCGCGGCCAAAAGAACTGCCTCAGGACCCGGTCGTATGTTTTTCGCACTCCCCAGTGTCCCGATTGGTCATGAGCAAGTTTTAACACCGACTCCCGGAATTTATCAGGCACAACGACTTGAATAACGGGATCTCCAACGAAATCTTTCCCATGAGGCATCCATTTCCGGACCAACAGTTCATTGTGTAAAAAATAACCCCAGGAATTATTTTCTACCTCGTCTTCAGGCAACACCATGTCAAACAACCCTTTCAAAGAGGAATCTGCCCGCTGCTCCAACTTCAACTCCTCCTGCGAAACCGAGAGAGGGACATCAGACAGAGAAAACGGCACAAACTTGGATTTCTCACCTCTACTCTTTGCAGCCTCCGAGCTTAACTCGGGAGTGTCACGTGTCATTGATCGAGTGACTGCACACGCTGTAAAAACTTCAGGAAGACTGCTCTGATTCTCATCTGGTTGTCTTTTCACCAGCGGAACAACAGATACTACTGGTGGCGGCGGAGCTGGAGCATCAGCCCAGACACGTCCACCTGCTACACCGTTACCCAAAATCAGGGTGATGCCCTCAATTGGAAGCGCAGGTCGCACACCGACCGTTATCTGCCCCTGAAAGAGATCGGAATAAAGCAACATCTTGTGCAGTTGAACTTTCATTACAGTCATTCCCATTCCCACCACCGGAATAAAACTCCCAGTGTGACTTTTTTCAGAGAATGGCAACACAGAAGCCTGAATGAACGAATCAAAGGCAGCTGTATCACGCAATATTTTGACAGGAACTTTTTCATCACTTCCCACCAAAGAGACATGACCATTTGAGACAAAAGGCAAGAATGATTCGAGCTCTCCAGGTACAGCTTTACCCTTGTCACAGATTCCCAACTGCCCCGTAAGTATTCTTGGCTTCGAGACAGCGAGACAGGCCGCTTTAGGCTGCCCCGCAGCTCCACTCTGTTTGTTTTTAGATTGTAGTGCAAAACAGTCCACTTTAAAATGTCCTCTTTTGTGACAGTAGTTACATATTTTATCAGACTTGCTCGCCTCATGGCCTTTAAAGTCCAACTTCCCTACAGGAAGATTGTAACTCCCCGCACCGGCATCCGTGCGCTCACTCAAACTGGACCTGTGAGCGCGCATCTCTCCAAAAGAGCGTCTGTGCGCTAACACATACTCATCAGCGAGCCTAGCGGCTTTATTTACATTTTCGACATCGTGATCATTAATGTGCTGTGCAATATTCTCTGGAAGAGAACTTTTAAATTGCTCCAAAATTACCAGGTCGCATAAATCCTCAAAGCTCTCGATTTTTAACGCGGAACACCATCGCGTAAAGTGACAAATTAAATCACGAGCAAACTCTAAGTATGTTTGTTTATCATTCTTTTTCCATGAACGAAAACGTTGGCGATAGGCTTCAGGGACAAGCTCATAAACTTTTAATACAGCAGATTTTACTAATTGGTAATTTTGGCTGTCTGACGCGGACAGGGCTGAATAGGCTTCTTGTGCTCTGCCGGTCAGCGCGCACTGCAACATTAACGTAAAAACAGATTCCGGCCACTTTCTGGACTCGGCAACGCGCTCAAATAACGAAAAAAATGTCTCCGGTTCTCTCTCATTAAATTTTGGCAACAGTCTCAAATTTCCCAAAACATCAAAACCATCAGGAGAACACGAGGAGGCATCCAAACCCGCAGAACCATCTCCGACTAACCTACCGCTTTTAATTAAATCCATCTGATTCTGCTGTAGTTGGAGTTTTGTCTGCTCAGTTTGAAATCGCAACCTCTCAATTGCCAACTGCGTATCCGTTTCCACTTGTTTTAATTTATCACGCTCTAATTGCAACATCATCATTTCTTTTTGCTGCTCAAAGGTGAAATTCGTCGCTGCAACAAATGGAGAATCAACTGCACCGGGAGGATCGGTCGCCATAACACCCATCTCATCCAAATTTGCTTTTAAAATACTTTTAATTGTGTCCTTTAACCGCCTGTCGGATATTTCGATTTCAAAATGATCTGCAATCTTAAGCAGCTGTTCCTTGGTGCATTTATTTAATAACTCGCTCGAAGGAGCCGCAACGAAGTCAGAAATATCCGACATTTCAATCACTCGCGGTTCAAATCAAAAGATAGAAATTTACTTACTCAACTACCTCGCGCACATCAGGTGTTATCCAACACCACAGAAATACCTACCGAGCTGCTTACGAAACAAAAAAGGTTGAGACACCCCGAACCCCTAACTACCTACCCCATATCTTACTAGGACCTCATCCTAGTCTTCGCTGGCGTGCCGAGCTCGAAACGTCACCAGACCCAAAATAACACCCCCGACCATGGCACGGTAGAGCGTGATATCCCGAGCCTTGCGCGCTCCCTCCTCAGGATTTGCCAGCAAAAACAACAAACTAAAACAAAAAAGTGACAAGTCCTGCTTGTCCGACGGCTAAACTCATCAGGGTGCTCAAAACATACAAACAAAAACAAAACCGACAAAATACCAACATAGCAGCTACGGCAAATAAACAAAATTATTATTATTATTTTAATCGTGAAACAATTTTTTAATAACCCCGTATCACCCCACGTAAAAGTGCCAAACCTGTTTCACAAAGCACAACCTCTGGGTTCCGAAACCTCCGAGTAGTAAGAGCGGTGACGTCACTAATTCACAACTTACTAAGTTCATTCACAAATCGAGTGAATCAACACCTACCGAGGTGAAAAAACGCAACAAACGGACGAGCCCCCATTTTGTCATGACCCGGCTCAAAGGCCATGAAAAAGATTGCGAGGCGTACGGGTTTAAACTTAAAACGGAAGATTTATTAACAACAAAGATTAAGTAAATAATTGAATACCCAAGAAAAGAACTAAACTAACAAAGCTTCTAAACTAAAACAAAACATTGTGCCACGAGGATCACTGCCGTGGTGCGCAGCGGAGGAGGGAGAGAGAGACACTGATCCTTGATGAGGGCTTTTAACACCTGGTGGAATGGCCAGATCCACGCAGGTGTGGCCAAGCCCACTCACCAACCTGCCAGGGAGAGAGAAAAGACAAAGAACAACAGCAAACCCTGGAGGCCGGAGGCCATCACAGGCAGGAGGCCGTCACAGCAGAGGCAAAGTACCAACAATGAATGTGCAACATGCAACTGCTGTGTGTGTGTGTGTGTGTTTGCCATACAATTGTAATAAACTGTAATATATATTAATATAATATAAGCAGTATAATCTAATTTTAGAGATCCTGTGAGGAGAAATGACCTATACAGAATACTGTCGTCATTGTTTTGTTTGTTTTAACATTTGATCAAATACAATGATTTTATTTTAAATTTTATTAGGAAGGAGCAGGAAGTAGACCCTCTGCTTCTTCACTGCAATAAAACGAGTCATATTAGGTGGTCCAGGCATATTGTAAGGATGCCTCCAGGGAATGGAGCTGTTTTAGAGGGAAGAAGACATCAAGGTAGGCATAGAGCTCGCTGGAGGGATTATATATCCCACATAAAGAGCTGGAGAGTGTTGCTGGGAAGGGGAGGTCTGAGTGACTCCCTGAGACTGCTGATCCAACCTCGGATAAGCAGAAGGGAATGAATGGATGTATGGATTATATGATGATAATTCTCATTATTCCATACAATGCCATGTACACAGTAGCCCTTGTTTGGGATAAATTTACAACAATGCAAAGTAGGGCCATCCCATGCTGTAGCTAACACACTGAAACAGCCCTAAGATAACCATAGCTCACACTGTTGTTGTGGGCTCTACATGCTGGACCTGAGTGCTGCTAGATAGAGGTGCTGGAGCACAGTCTTGAATGGACTGCTTGTATCAGAGTGTTGGTATTGGAGATTTTAGATGCAGGCTGATAGAATTCTCTATTTGTTTTTCTTTAGCTGATATCAGACGGATACTGGATATAAAGATCATATCAGGACATTCTTAAAAAATTACTGCATGTTGTATAAAGAAATAATCAGGCTGTCTTTGTTGGGGTCATTATTCAACATCAACTCTTTAGAATGGGAATGGGATTAAACATGACTTGTATTTGTCTGAGTTAGCTTATAAAACCAAAGACCTTTCATCCTGCACTAAAAAAAGAAAGGCATATAACTAGCATTATTATGAGGAGGTAAAATGCTGAAGAAATATTCTTTCACTGACCCTCAGTAACCTTTAGACTTGCGAGTTGAAAACCCCTTTTATGCATGGCATCGTTCCAGGATGTAAATAAGATGTTTGCAGAGATCAGAAAGCAGGGGCTGTGCTCTGTGAATGTGTTTAAAAGCCTCCTGGGTTCACTGTGTGAATTGAAAAAGCATTATTCAAGTCCACCAGAAGCACTGCAACCTTTAAAGGCTCCATACTTAGTTTATAATCATAGGCTTTGTTCTGCTTCTGTGAAAGCTAAGGAAGTATTCAGTTGGTTTTTCTGACTCGAATGTCATTCATCATGGAGCGTAAGCCCTGTGATAGCATTACGTATTGTGTGTTCTCACAAAGAGGTCACTTGCATAGTATTCTAATCTGACATGATGACTGATGCTTCAATTTTAAACACTCAAGATTTAAGGTTTTCAGAGGGGGAAAAAATTTGATTGTGGTTAAACCGTTCTGCCTACCTTTGTACACAAAGTTATGTTTGTTACGTTCACAAAGCCGTTTGTTATTTCTTCTGTTCATGTTCCCCAGAGGGTAAAACCAAACAGTTATGTTTTTGCTTTTCCTCAAGCACCACTGTGAGATCATCACTGAGTTACTTTGAGCCTTCTCCAAAGTTATTGGATGTACTACTGAGAAAATGTGTCTGTCCTCTACACGATGACTTTAAGAAACTTAAGGATTCTTAAACTTCTACTCCCTCAAATTGTCTCATCAGTAATACTGTAGCTTACCGTCAACTAAAGCTGTAATACATGGGTCGTGAGTTATTGAACAGGAGCACAAACTCAGTGGGCTCTATTTTCGTTCGCGCCGGTGAGGCGGCGGAGGGCGGCGAGCCCCGCGCAGTTGTATTTTCGTCTGGCGGAGCCCAGCGTAAGGCCAATTTGGTATTTTCGTGGCATGAGCCGCACGGAGGCGAGCCGAGATCCGCCAAGCTGGGCGTGGTGGTGTGGCAGGGGGAGGTGTCGACAGAATCAGCTGGCGCAGTGACATTTTCGTGCTCGCCAACGGCGTGTAAAGTGCGCTGAAAGCTCGCCGATTCAAACCTGGTCAGCTTTCAGCGCAAGGCGGAACGCAGCTGGTCTTGTAGTATTTTGGTAGACCGGCGGCGTATCAACATACGTCACTGATGCCTCACGGGCAGGTTTCCACAGTGTCAGGCACATTTCAGTGCAATAAATAATCATCATCAACTATTAATCTGAGTCAGCACATATATTTAGATCTATATCGATATATTCTGATCTATATCTGATCTGATGAGCGCGTTTGGCACGTGTTTGGACACACAACCTGACCGAATCAACACAGCTGAAACCGCATCAAATTAAATTAAATATCTAGTAAATATACGCACATGATGAAGTTAACAAGATATGTAATTCGTCTCCCTCCCTTTCTTTCTTCCTCTTCCTCTTATTTCTCGCACAGCTCGACCTGGACATGTCTCCGTGTCCTCTGTCCGTCTTGCTGCTGCTGCAGCTGAACAGATGATTTGTTTCAGTGCTCAGATGCGTTATCTACTTTAAGCCGACATACGGATATTATAATATTCAGTTTTGTGAGCCAAATTTATTTTATATGCCAACATCTATGAAAGAAAGAGCCAGGCCACGGAGCGCGATGCGTCATTTACGCACAGATGGTTCCGATTTTAATGCCTTTTTGGAGTTTATGCTGTGATCTGTGCGCTCAACCCACCTTTGTCACGTGAGGTTTGAATATGAGCAACTTTATGTGAGTGTCTTTATTTGTGGAAAAGGGTGTTTGTCTTACCAGTGGGTCCAACATTACGCACACCAAATCCATCTGTGCTCAGATGAGAGAGTGTGGAGGACACTTGTTGAGCAGCTGCCCTCTGTCGCCATCGTGTGGCATAACTGTCTTCAGACATCTCTTGATCTCTTTGACTACTTCATGAAAATAGTAATACGCCTCGCCTGTGGCGGATTTAAAGGCGAGGAGAGGAGCTAATGTGATTGGTGAAAACAGGTCTCGGCTGTGTTAAACCCCTATACGCCCTCTCGCCTCCCCTTCTATGATTTATGCTGCCGGGAGGAGCTGAGTTAGGGAGGGGGGATACTTACACCGGGCTGCGCGGCTCACCAAAATACCAAAATGTGCTTGGGAACGCCTTGTCAGCGCGGCGGATCTGATTGACGCTGCGCTTGCGGCAGATCTCCGGCGAAGCACCAAAATAGAGCCCAGTGCCTCAAAACCTCTCATTATTTGTATCATCATATTGATCTGAACATAAGATGGTCATCTGTTGCTGTGTTTGCAAAATCAGCTCTATACATCGAATGCTAGGTTAAAACAGCTTACAATAAAATCCACTCACATCGTTAGACTGCTAAATTTACAGCATTACACTGTCGATTCTTAAGTATTCAATACACATTTTTCTTTGTAAATGGTCAATGTTTAACAGGCTAGGCGTGCCTGAGTGCACTTACATAATACATGTCACATTGATCTATTCACGCTAAAACCATATAGTGATGGCAGAGGCTGCCATGTAAAGTGCCCGGCGTGGTTAACTGATCACATCCACACACCCCTTGCTTAGCCAGAAGTCTTAATCAGAAGCACAACATATCACAATGTGGAATGGGATACCACCGTAAACTACAAGGTGGATGTTGTGCAGCAGCTCCATGTGTTTGAACCAAAAAAGCCTGGTTAGTTGAAGTTAATTACAGCCTTTTCTTTTCTTGTGGGAATTGCCACATCAAAAGCTGACATCAAGAGGTAATTCATGGATTACCAGAGGACTCCAGGTAACACAGTTTTGCAACAGCTGCTTTAACGCCTGAAGAAGGAGATGACAAGAGGAGGAGAGAGTACAAAAAGCAGCAAATGGCCATTTTGCTTAAAAGGGTAAAGGTTTCAAGGCAACAGTGTGACATGCATGTTTATTTTCTACGCTCATGTGACACACAGGCTGCATACATGCATGCATTTTCTGTTTGCATATGTAACAGGCTGTATGACAGTGATGTCACGAAGACTTTTACTGCAGATCAGCATATGGTGTGTTAGGTCACATGACTGACATGCATGTCTGACAAAGTGACAGCTGGACCTGTTGTCTGGATTTTAATATTTAAACAAGGATTCAATCATCCATGTGCACATATGAGATGGTCTTGTAAAAACTAACACATTGAGCTTGACAAGTGTAAAGGAGGTGTAAGTAATGGCACTTACAGTAGATACCTTAAAACAGCCTGTAGACATCCTGCCAAAGCTATCAACTTGAGAGCTGTTTAATGTGATTACAGGTGATTATTCTTAATGAACACTTACACAGCAGTCAATGTGGAGGTACCAGCGTGTTAATCACTTTGTCTTTAGGGGCAGAAAAAGTGCTAACTGAATGCAGCTAATTTGACATTTATCCCTGAAACATTAGTTTGTCAATCGGTAAATATTAATGATGGAATTTATCAGAAAATCTCGTCTGAGAAGAAATGTCCTGGACTGAGTCTGCTGCTGCTCCTCGTCTATCTAAAAGCAGGCTCTGTGCCCAGAGGAGGGATTTATCGAGTCGCTCACATCAAATACAGAGAAAAATTGATTTGCAAGCCAGAGATCTTCCTCTTTAAGACCCCAAACACATTCACACCCTACTCCATTTTAGCTTTATTACTAAAAGCCAATAAAGTATTGACGTGATCTCAATATGTCACTCCTTAACCTATTGAATAAATGAAACCTGCCTTGCTACAGAGTGATTGTGGTGCAGTGTAATGAGCTGAGGCTATTTCACTAGGAACTTGTTGGGAGTTTTAACTTCCATTTTATAGTTTTAGAAGTCTTTTTCTTTTTTATAACAGTTTCATATTCATATCCAGAGATGTAGCCTTTAAATAACGGCGGTTTTTAGAATGCTGTATTTGCTGATTCATGGTGAAATATTATGTACTTACAACTAAGTATATTCTTATACCTTATTGTGACAGTGAAAGCCAGGAGTATGAAGTCCATTGGTTCTACATATGGGGATTCATTATCTGGGGATTGCTGAGGAGAATTTGTCCAAAAAAATATTGTTGTAATTTATAATGTTAACAGGCAATCAAATAGCCGATCATATTTGTCAATATTAATATAAAAAACACAGCACTAACATTAAGTTGACTTTTTTACAAGTGATCTATCTCTGCTTTGGCTCTGTGGTAAAGGCAGGCTAATTAAGGTCGTAATCATTAAAAATGAAATATAGTAAAGCCTTTGCACAGAGGTTGGCTGTTGTGTTGACATGGATCAGCCCTCTCACTTCAACTTATATCTAACACCCCTTTTCATTATGGTTATGTACTTCAGCAATCAAGACGCCACTTTTGCTTTTATATTTTTGAAGCATTGTTGTGCTCTTGAAAGAAATGATGTTTGATTGCTGCTGCAGCTGCCAACCCCAACCCCTGTTGTTGAGTAAGTATTTCGTACACTCTACCTCTGCATTAAAAAGCCACTTGCAGTCTTTTTTCCATTTGGAGGGCATAATATTTTCACTCATTCAGCCCTTTCTTCAGGAATGTCAAATGTCTCAAAGCAAATTTTAAACTAATTAATCTTAGATTTTATCAGGAACACACACAAAAAAAAACAAACAAACATTAAAATAGCAGATTTTTAAACAAAGCACAAATGTAAATATGCGAAAACCAGAGAAATCAAAGGGACTCTTGAGTTTGCTAGAAAGTGAAGCAAAGAGTCAGGATTTTCATATCTAGCAGCAGTGTCCCACAAAGATCAATCAATAAATCAATAAAGAATCAATGAAGAAGGTAAGAAGTGTGTAGAACTTTTGATTTTCAGCTTAAAATCTATGAAACTGAATTGTAAGATGGGATATTTAACATTTTCAGTCAAAATGTTCATCTGTGTTGATGAACATGACACCCCGGCCCTAAGACTGACCCAAACACTAAACAAATGAAAAATATATATAAACATAAAGTTTAATATTTGGGTTGGTAATTTGGTTTGTTGGTTTATTTTATTTGGTTGGTCTCTTGTGTCTTAACTATGTTTGCTGGTAAATGTGTCACTTGGTTTTTGCCTTCTGGGATAATTGGTTAGTTTAGTGCATGGGTTGGTTTGTTGGTTCTCTAGTTGGCTGACTCGTAGGTTGGTTTCTTGGTTTATAGAGTAGATTTAATATTCAGTTTGTGTGTTGGTAGGTTGGTTGTGTGTTAGACAGTTTGTGGGCTGATTCCTGCAGTAATTAAGTTTGTTTGTTTGTTTATTGTCTTCCATCTTGTTGGTTCACTTAATTCTTGTGCTAATTTGTTAAAAATCCTTTTATTCTCTGGTTCATTTGTTTGCTGGTTTATGTTCACCCAGTCATTTGTTGATTCATCTGTTTGTCCGTCTATTAACCTATTCATGACATGACTTATTAGAAAGCTGCCTATATGAAGTGATAAAAACATCCTCCCAGAATTACATCCACACTAATCTCTGCAGAATTTCTTAGTGTAAGACATCACATGATTCATTGACTAAAAACAGCGGTCTGTCACTTGTCTCTTTTTAACAACTACCAGCTCTGTCCCAGTGACATAAATCATCTGGAGGGACAAGTATATGCTGCAGACCCCTGCCTGGATGCTCTGTTGAACACTGAATAGAACTGTATATCTCCATTTAGTCAAGAAGCGACATGCTCCCTTTCTGTGACGGGGGGGGGGGGGGGATTAAACTACTGTGCACATGATCCACTACAACAAGAGTGATGCGCCTTCAGTTTTTAAAATATTCCACAAATGCATTGTGTTGGCTGCAGAAATCCTTTTAGAGTGGGTGTGCTTGGAAACCTTCTCCCTGAGATCAGCGCGGAGAAAATAGAAAAAAATATATATATGGTATCCTTTTAACATCACCCAAACAAATTGGGTTCAAAGGACTAAATCAAAGTTGACAGTAAAACAAAATGTTCTGCATCCCACAGTGGTGGAGATTATATAAAAGCAGCTGATGAAACAGTAAGAGAGAATCTTCTGTGCCGTAAAATGTGTTTTTACCTCTTTTCACTGGGCTTTGATCAGAAAATGTCTGGATGGTGAGATCCCTGAATAGCTCAGCCTCCTACAGCAGCTGTTTATGGACTTGTCCCAAAACTGTCACTGTGGGTGATGAACAGTAGCACAAGCTCTTGGGGATGGAGTTTGAGTGCAAAATCGAGACATCCTCTGCCCCAAAATTCTTTCAATGGCCCAAATACTCATGTGAATTCACTCCTCCGCACCTTGGATTAGCCTGATGTGAGTTTCATTCACCTGCCTCACATATGTGGATCACAGTTCTTTGTAATGTTTGCATCATGCAGTGGAGACAATGGTGATTCAGACGCCTGGGGCTTTAACATGTGCTGCTTTACCTGGAAATATTTCAACCTGTGACATCACACTGTCATTTTATTAGGCTTTATGCAAGCCGTTCACCCTTTTGATAATAAAGATGGGGGGACAAAACATATTAGAGTAAAGTTAAGCCACCTGACAAGTTCAGACAAATGTCTTATGTCAAGATATTACAAGCCAATATTCATTGCTGGGAATTGGCTGAAAATCAGTTGTAGTTAAGTTAAGTTAAACTTTGATATTAAAGGAACTCCTGAAATACCCAATGTGTAACTGGTGTTGGTTTTAATGCTATGCTGATGCATGCTTTTAAAGTTGCACTTCTAAGTATTTAGTGGCTTTGGTAGAAATAGAATATAATACTCATGCATATGTTAAAAATAGTGAAAAATGTCACATGATTATAAAACTCACTTTCATCTGGTTAACTTTGAATTACTTTTTTGTATTTGCTAACTCTCCCTTTCTTTCAAAGTAGCTGCCATCCAGCGCTGCCATGTTTCTACAACAGTACAGAATGGACAAAAAAAATGACGAACACATTTGCACACAAAGAAATGAAAATGCAAACTAAGGACACAGATTTATCAAATTGATTCATTAGGCTGTTTTATTTTGAAAATTTCAGACCGAAGAAAGCTTGAAGGTTTCAGAATTTTGAGTGGACTTTCAAACCTTGACACAAAATCAGAGGGTTGGTTCAACCATACTGAAGTACAAATAGAAGAGTGGGATGTAAGGTGTGTGAAGGACATCCAGGCAAAACTTTTTATGTTCATTTCTTACGGGAAAAGTTACTAAAGTGAGAAAGAAAGCACTACCATGGAGTTTTCTCAGACATGAGGTCACAAAGAGCATATTTTTTTTCATTGCTGTACATATGTTTACATGTTAACTCTGCCAAACAATCTCAATGAGTAAACGACACTGAATCACTTTCATTAATTATTACACCTGTTTTCAGGGGTGTAAAAAAAATCCTCTAATATCCTAGTTAAGCTGAAATATTGCTGAACCTCCTTTTGTTTTCATGAAAACAAGATGCAAAAATTTAACACACAAGGCTTCTTTGGCAGTCGTTGATAATTGAAACAGCCAACATCCGTATAAGTCCATTTAAACTGATCAAATTCAAGTTTCCTAATTTTCTTACTCGTCACAATAACAATTAAAAAACCCAGAGAATATCGCTAATGGTTGTGATGCATTCAAGGAAACAAAGTCAGGGGCGGAGGAGAGCATCAGAGCGAATAGATGAAGAAGAGTAATCCAAACAATTACACGGCCATGATTACACACCAAACTTATGAACAACAATTATCATCAAACATTCATTTGTCATCTCATCAACCTTTGCCAGACGACGCTGCTGCCTGCCAAACTGTTTGGTACTGATGGATTTCAGACTTCAGAGAACAGCCAAGTCTCTGTACAGTGATGGACTGAAAACATCCTGCAGGCTCCAGGATTCCAGGAGACTCTGGGTTCACAGTTAATACTCTCATAGAAAAGCTTGAGACTCTGTGTTGTCATGAAGAAAATGAATTTAATTCATCCTTTTTATTCATTTTATTTTAAAATTACCTCTGTGTTAGCAGGTTTAGTTTGTAGTCTTAAAAGTCTCAACAAAGCCACCAGGGAGAACATCTGTAATGAAAAAATAATCTGTTTATAGTAACTGAAATACAGAACATGTAATAGAGTTTTTTGTAAAGTGAAGCTCTTTAGCAGTCATCCTATCAAAGACTCTCACAGAATGCTGAATTTGAGCTCTTATTTCTGCATTAACCATCATCCAGAAATGTCAAACAGATAAGAAAAGTTTCTCATGATTCAGTTGAGATTGGAAAGACAACAGCTAGCCCCAAACTGCTCTTCCTAGTTTAAAAATATTGACTGTGAATAGAGAAACGCCGGCTTGAATCCATCAGAGAAAGTATAAAAAATCATTGTGTTCCAGTAACTAACATTTCTACGGTTTATTGCCTTACACTTTACCAGCTATTGAAATCCCAAGGCCTTGTGTGTGTGTGTGTTTCTGTTTTTTTCCACTCTCATTTCGCACAAGCTACACTACATAGCATGTGTAATCACTGAAGTGAAGACGGGTGCACACAATAGCAGTAGATACAGACACTACGCTGTGCAGCCCACACACTCCTGAGATGAGTGTTAAATAACAGTTACTGTATATGGAGTCAACTGTGTTGGTTGAATTGTTTTTTGGTCTCTCAGAGCCATGACTCAGGGCTTCTTATCTAAAATTTTGAAACTTGCATTGAAAGTGTCTCGAAAGCAAAGTGGAGTTTCTCTCAAAAAAGCAAAATATCAACACACAAAACCAAAAACCATCTACCGTTACCTCTATGATGCTCTGTCTGTGTCTGTGTCTGAGAGCTTGATTTTCCTGCTTTTTTTTTTGGCTGACAACACTTCACTTTTTTCTCTTCCCATGTGGCTACCAATATAATATATGGTGTGACAATGAGATATGATACTATAGGAATCAATCTATAATAATAATATGATATGATATGTTACACTATAATACAGTACAATATGATACAATACAATATGATCTGATACAGAACAAAATAATATGACAAGATACAAATGATATGAAACAATACAGTAAAATAAATTTGGATACTATAGAATAAAATAACTACTAATAATTTGACACAAGACCATGCACTACAATACAATATGACACAATACGATACGATGCAAAATGATACAATATGATCAGATATTGTATATCTGGTCATACCCGAGAGAGGCCAACTTAACATTCTAACATGATATTACAAAATAAGATAGGATACTATACAATACAATCAAATTTAATGTAATATGATATGATATGATATAAAATGACATGATTTGACATGATATCACCAAGGTACAAGAGAATATATATCCAGGAAGGGGCCAACTTCAAGCAGTCCGGTAAGATGTGCCTCTTTAAATAAATGCAAAAGAAAACATACATACTGACCTGACATGCACTTTGTAATTGCTGTAAAAATGTGAACAAAATATGGTTTTGGTAAAACCTTCCGGTGGACATTACCTGTTATTTTTATTATCAAAAATCGTAAAACGTACATGTTGCAAACTATTATGTAGTATATGGCTGAAGCAACCTAGCTAGCAAACTCACAAACACAACCTCTGCCCTTCAGTATGAGAGTTAGCATTGCTGCATCCACACCCTGCACCCTTCAGCACCTCTCTTTAAGTGCACTACAACTCCTACATTACTAAAACATGATGAGTACATCCTTCAGGAGGTGATTTTGACATTCACGACCATCTTAGCATGACTTGTTTACAAGAAATCTCCATGGAGCATATTTAAATGTGGATGTTAATAATTCAGTACGGAGATGTTGAACATCTGCAGGGAAAAAAAAAAAAAAGTTCAGATGTTGAACTTTTTTAAAAACACAAGGAAACATTTGTTTGCCTCTCTTTTATTTAAGTCTTCAGCTCTGCGTCTGTTTAAAATGTTTAAGTCGTTGGGCTCTATTTTCGTGCGCGCCGGTGAGGTGGCGGAGGGCGGCGAGCCCCGCGCAGTTGTATTTTCGTCTGGCGGAGCCCAGCGTAAGGCCAATTTGGTATTTTCGTGGCATGAGCCGCACGGAGGCGAGCCGAGATCCGCCAAGCTGGGCGTGGTGGTGTGGCAGGGGGAGGTGTCGACAGAATCAGCAGGCGCAGTGACATTTTCGTGCTCGCCAACGGCGTGTAAAGTGCGCTGAAAGCTCGCCGATTCAAACCTGGTCAGCTTTCAGCGCAAGGCGGAACGCAGCTGGTCTGGTAGTATTTTGGTAGACCGGCGGCGTATCGACATACGTCACTGATGCCTCACCGGCAGGTTTCCACAGTGTCAGGCACATTTCAGTGCAATAAATAATCATCATCAACTATTAATCTGAGTCAGCACATATATTTAGATCTATATCGATATATTCTGATCTATATCTGATCTGATGAGCGCGTTTGGCACGCGTTTGGACACACAACCTGACCGAATCAACACAGCTGAAACCGCATCAAATTAAATTAAATATCTAGTAAATAAACACACATGATGAAGTTAACAAGATATGTAATTCGTCTCCCTCCTTTTCTTTCTTCCTCTTCCTCTTATTTCTCGCACAGCTCGACCTGGACACGTCTCCGTGTCCTCTGTCCGTCTTGCTGCTGCTGCGGCTGAACAGATGATTTGTTTCAGTGCTCAGATGCGTTATCTACTTTAAGCCGACATACGGATATTATAATATTCAGTTTTGTGGGCCAAATTTATTTTATATGCCAACATCTATGAAAGAAAGAGCCAGGCCACGGAGCGCGATGCGTCATTTACGCACAGATGGTTCCGATTTTAATGCCATTTTTGGAGTTTATGTTGTGATCTGTGCGTTCAACCCACCTTTGTCACGTGAGGTTTGAATATGAGCAACTTTATGTGAGTGTCTTTATTTGTGGAAAAGGGCGTTTGTCTTACCAGTGGGTCCAACATTACGCACACTAAATCCATCTGTGCTCATATGAGAGAGTGTGGAGGACACTTGTTGAGGAGCTGCCCTCTGTCGCCATCTTGTGGCATTACTGTCTTAAGACATCTCTTGATCTCTTTGACTACTTCATGAAAATAGTAATACGCCTCGCCGGTGGTGGATTTAAAGGCAAGGAGAGGAGCCTATGTGATTGGTGAAAACAGGTCTCGGCTGTGTTAAACCCACTATACGGCCTTTCTCCTCCCAGTCTACGACTTATGGTGCTGGGAGGAGCTGAGTTAGGGAGGGGGGATACTTACACCGGGCTGCGCGGCTCACCAAAATACCAAAATGTGCTTGGGAACGCCTTGTCAGCGCGGCGGATCTGACTGACGCTGCGCTTGCGGCACGTCTCCGGCGAGGCACCAAAATAGAGCCCGTTATCTTAAAGCGTTTTGCAGATGTTGCACAGAAAAGCCAATCAATCTTAAGTGTGGGTGCTCACTGACACGGCTTGCTGTCTGGGGGAAATTTTAGCAAAACATCTTCATGGGAGTTTGTATTATGCTAACAACCGTAATTAGAATAAGACGTTGAATTTCATTGTGCCTTGATTTCCCTCCCAGTTGGGTTAATTGCTCTCCATGTAAAGATTGTGTTACCGTCAAATGGATTACAGCCTGAAACACTTTATTGGAAGTTTCAATTTAATGATGTGCAGTAGCTCTCATCAGAAAAAAAAATAAGTGGATAAATACTTCTAAACCAGCAGGTAAACATTCAGATGAAAGGTTTCTGATCACATTAAAAAACAGTGGAATAGACAGAAGAGATGATTGTGAAATATGAGACAAAGATTTACACAATCTGTTTAAGAGTGCGAGGTGTACATTACTATGCATGAAACATCAGACAGCATTTAAAACACTGATGCTCCCACATTGTATTTGATTTGTTGTAAATAAAATAGAATACCTGCAGTAGATTAAACCACGTTTGAAAAGCCACGGCATTTAAAATTATCTGTCTAATGAAGTCAGTGGCATTGAAAACAGAGCAAACCTAATTAAAAGTAATGGAGATATGTGTAGAATTACTGAATTTCTAAATGCAGAGAGAAATCAAGTGGAAATATATCCCTTCAGCTCTACAAATCAAACAAAGTGAGAAGGACAAAAAAACACACTGGTCTTTTTTTGGAACCAGCCTGAGCGACTGCTGACAAACTGTTTAATGTTTTATTGATCAAAAGGAACTATTGATAGATCACTGTGCTGTTCCCCCTCCCCCCTTCCATCTCATTAACTGATGGCATACATTGTTCTGCCAGACAACAATAGGCTCATATCATGCAAATGTGGAGCAGCTCTTCATTTGCCACATCAGAGGATCGAGCATCGTATAGAAACACGCCCTGCTCCTTCATTCACGTCTCTCTTGGGTGTTTCTGGTGTTTTTGTGCTTCTCCGTCTCGCTGTTGCGAGCAGCAGCTGGTTTGCAGCGGTCTGTGAACAGAATGCCGAATGTTATCAACAAACATGAGTGTTTCATCAAGAGAGTGAGAGCAGTTCAATCATATTTCACTGACAGAGAGTGGTATGAAATTTTAATTGAATATTTTATGTGCTTTCCAGACATCAGTCTTATGTGACACACGCAGAGCAGCACCTCAGCATGTCCTTTTCTGGTACACTATAGACACAGCTAATTTAATTATAACTAATTTACAATTAAGATCATGGAGAACTGTTGTAGAAAGGTTGTACTCCATGACGTCTGGCTCGACATTTAGCCTTGACCATTGGCTGCGTGTCTCCCCATACTCTGTCCGAAAAGCCTCTGTGTCTAGATACAGGATTCAGAAAATACAGGAGACATTTACATTTTTCTCATCTGTAAATTTTTAGCAATATCCACATACACCCATGCCTGATAATAAAGGTGCAGGAGAAATGCATTCATGCACACTAACTTGAACAGTGATGCCGCAACAGCAAAAAATGGAGGGTATGACATCCAAAACCAGCAAAATACACAACAAATTTGATCTATTTTTTAGATGTTGATCTCCACTGGAAAATTGACGGATATGTTTAAATGTTAGGTTTAGTGTAATTTCATGATTGCATAAGGTGTGTGTCCACTACAGGCATTTCTTAGATGGTGCTCACAACTTAGATTCAAGAGCCTCTTGCTGGCATTCACTGTTGCTAAGGTACAAAAGCTGTTCTCTTTCATTCCCATTTTCCCAAGTGGACCATGTAGCATCAGCAGCTGATTTTTATCTGAAAATAGTACCTTTGAAATTACACATGTGGTAAGCTCTTCCAGCATGTTGACCTCCACTGTTGTTCTTGATAGCCAGAAGAAACGTGGTACTTATATAAGAAAGATGAGTGCTCATTGAAAAAAATTATCCTATTATTGCTTTTTTAAATAAGTTTTAAGGCCTACCACAGATGGCTCCCCCCTGTCTGCACCATGTATATGGTATAGAGTTGGAAACTCTAGCCCCCCCCAGTCTTGTAACTGCTGTACTTTGTACAGTCTGTTTGGCTCAGGAGTCTGGAAATGGGTTTCACTGTGGAGAGAAAAGTGCACATACACTCATGAAAAAAGACACACAAACAAAAAAAAATACTTGTTGTATTTCTTATTTCCCAAATCCTTGTCTCAAATATTAAGAATCTGCCATTAAAACGATTAAAAACACACACACGTATTGAACAGTGTTGCCAACCTGGCAACTTTGTCGTTAGATTTAGCATTTTTTCAGACCCCACTAGTGAGTTATTTTCAAAAAATTGCCGAGTGACAACTTTAGCAACTTTTTTCTGGAGTTTAGAGACTCTGACATGAAAGTAGGTGTCCATGTTACTCTTCTCAATGGGTAGCCGGTGTGCATCAAAAGCATAGACACCCCAGGGAAGTCTCCCCTTCCTCCTCCCGGGGGTCGGTTGTGGCGGGTTTGACAGAAAAATGATGCAAATAAGGTGATGACGTCATCTAGCAACTTCTACTATGACAGCTACTAGCAACCCTCCTTACTGAGGAGTTGGCAACACTGGTATTGAACTCATGCAGTGGTGCAGTGGTTCTCCAAGTGTGTGCCTGGTGGGGCAGGAGTTTGGAAAAAAATAGGCTATTATGTTTCTGCTTTTGCTGTTGAATCACATGGATGTATTTAGTCTGTGTGTATAATGGATACTCTTCTGAGTTTTGCATTTTCTGGGGTTACCATAGACAGAGAGTTATGTTTTTCTGCATTGAAAATAAGAATAATGTTGGTCTCAGTCTAGAGTTTTTGGCCCATGTGGATCTGAGTTGAAGTAGACATGTCCTCGTCCTAAAATCAGTCCCAAGTCCCTTTACTTGCATCTCCATGGCCTCAGTCCAGATAAAAACTCTGATTGCCACCTTACTTCCTTAATAGTGCACCCTTAAAGTATCAGAGAGGTACCAGACCCATGAATCTAGACTGATAACCAGGTTTTTTGGAAGCCTAAAGCAAAGACTTCCCAAAAATAGCAATGCATCATATTTTCATCTTCCACAGCTTATTTGAAGACAACATAGGAGCAAGTCTCTTCACTATCTGCACAATGATGGGTGCTTGGCATGAAGATAAAGTCATGACATTTTGCACTGGGTGTTTGATCGGATATATATTGTTGGTACTGCAACACGATGACATCTTTGACACCAAGAAAAACAACCCAGGAAAGATAGAAAGGTTAAAATCTGGATTTTTTCCCCTCTATAACAGTTTTGTTATGTGCAGAGGCACCTTCAGAAATTTCACAAGTCAGCATCAAAAACTGACAACTTCCCTCATCATCTGTGATCAAATCTGACAGGAAGCAGAGTCTAGTGGCTTCCTGTCATACTGAGGCACTTTGTCACTTAGATGAGTCCACAGGCGTTGGCAGTTTTACTTACAAGTTAGCACCAAGTCACTGTGCATCCATCCACCGACACTGAATTCATAAATGTGACAGGACATAACTGTAATTACACCCTGTTTTTTTTAACAATGGAGAATAAATGACCTTTGAGTTAATAAGCTTTAGATGTTAATAAAAATGTCTTGACGTTAATTAAAAATCTGTCTTGATGACAAATGATTGGCTTCCTTTGTGTGAGGACCACTGCATAAAGTCCTGAATACACCTCATTGTTATTGCCAGGTGACGCATTTAAGTTCATTTCATCAGACACTTTTTTCTTAACATGAAGAAACTCCTGCAAGCTCCTTAAAGCAGGCAACTCGAGCTGATTTCACACTTGACATGTGCCACTCTCAGAATCACATCCCAAAGTCCCATCTTCTGCCTCGACTCTTCTCAAACTAGCAGAGTAGTTAGGCTAAAACTAGTTTACAACCAGAAGGTAACTTAAAACGTTATCTAAGTAGTTTCTGCACATAAAAATCAACTGCAAAGAGGGACAGGGTCAGCGCCTGGCTGCCAAACATAATCAATGGTCTGCCAAACATTTCAGACAGCATAACTGTGAGTTGCCTGACTGAATTATCTCCTAATTACTTAAATGTGTTTTCCAAATTTGTTCTTGAAATAAGTTATGGAGTTGTTGTGTGGCTGTCTATGAACTTGTATTGAAAACTTTGATTTGTTAAAGAGAACAGCTGTAAGAAAGACTGTGGGCTCTCCTTACACTAGTAATATTAATGTAATAACCATTGAAGGAGAAGGGGTGAAGTGAAATGGGCACTATCAGGGCACTAATGTTGGTGCAAGTTCAGTCACTGTCACACATCCTTAAGCAGGTCGAAGTGCACTAAGTGGAAAATGAGAAAAACCCTTGCACTACATGCCTCAAATGCTTTCTGGTGTTAAAGGGCTTTGAGTGTCATAAATTAGGTTGCAAGAAGGAGGGGTTACCAAGTATTCAAACGTGTCCACGCTGACTTTCTTAAAAGCAATCCTCTGAAGCCAAGCACTGACCCTCTGCCACAGGAGAGCAGCATCACCGGGACACCATCTCCGTCCTGTGGTGCACGTGTTATTGAAGTTTATGAACTAGAAAGAGTCAGAAATGTTTCACAAATTCAAGCCGAGCGAGGAGAAATGGTGTGAAACTAATCCACCGCCGGTTGATATTCTGCATGCGAATGGTTATCGCTTTGTGTCAACAGGGGAGATAATGCACAGCAGCTTTGCATGGCTGTGTGATAAGAGATAAAATGATGTCATATTAAGCTTGTTTTCAAACTCTGCTCTGGATGTAATCCAGCTAGCTTACCATTTCCATCCTGCATGCATAAGTGAGTACATTACAACCTGACAGGAGACAAACACGAGCTTCAGGGCTGAGGCTCTTTATGTAAGCCTCGTCCAGATATTCTCCCAAAACACATTTTACAACAACAAAGAGTGTTGGAATTTAAAATGTGTTATTACCCTTGCATACATAATCCAACCTCCCCTTGTGCATTTGTCATGTGTTAAAGAATTCTATCTTATGCACAGTACTGGAGGGCTCGACTCACACAGTCAATTACAGTATGCAGCTTCATCATATATCTTGCCTGCAAATGAGACTATAAATACACCGACTCACGTCTCTAATGCATCCCCTTGTCAGAGAGTTAAATAGAGTGCTGTGAAACACTATGGGCCTTTCACAGTCTTACAGCTCCATGCATTGTTTCAAGCTCATACTGTGTAATGTGCAAACTCAGTTTCCTGTCATGCAATTTCACAAACTCTGCCCTCACAAAGGTTAAAAGTATGAAAGAAGTGGAGCTTAGAACAAACTGACAAATGGTTTTCATGCTGATTAACTTATTGTAACATATGTGAAATACTGTACCTTCTGGGCCTCTGCCTCTGAGTGTTGACTCAAAGAAACCATCATTCGCAGAAGGGCATAATATGCTGAGACTGCGGCATAGTGAATGGGTAGGTATGCAAATCAAAACAAGACCAGCTCTCCTCCTTTTGCAGCTGAAACATCCTTTAACATTAACGGGGCTAATGTCACATCTGTAAGCATCACTGTTATCATCACACTCCTGCATTAAAGTTATGTCATACTGAAAGGTGGGCCATGTCACCAGATCTGCTGTTGCACAGATTGCAGGACAGGATGTTGCTCCCCTTTTCCTTCTCACAAATGGATGGAGTCCAGTCACTCCTCAGGCTGCTCTCACACCTTTGTCAGCTACCTGTCTTTATGTCTTGACTTCCAAGACCAGCCTGAGGCAGTACCTTATACTTCTGCCACAGTGTCAGTCTGAAATGCATGGCCTAAAGTGCAAAGTGAATGGGGGTGTGTACAGCAGCTTCCACCTACTTTTACTGTGTGTTAGTTATACTGGGTTATACTGACTGACATGCAAAATGTTGATCCAAATCCCACAGCCCCACTCTTATGTACGCTACACATCAGCACTTTTATATTTGCACCATGCAACTTGGCTTTGTAATGATGTACTATTAATGTCTCCGAATTTGATTCACTGCATGGCGGCTTCATGGAAGTACAAGAATCACGGTCTGGAAATACAGTGGGAGCTTCTCACGCCCACACACACATACACAGTGTATATCCCCCATCCCGCTCCTGTTACTACCTCTGAGGGAGCTTCACTACAGCAAATTGCCTCTGTGCACTACACACTGCTGAAAAGGGATAATGGGCATCCACCTTAAGAGCCATTTGTTTAAAACTGATGCATTAGGCTACAGATAAAGCAAGAGCTGGGAGAATACTCTGTAGATTATGTTGAAGTTTTAGCTCAGTCTAGACATGGCTATCACAGCTAGCTCTTATTTTTCTTTTAGCTTTGTGCTTTGTGCATTACATATGTAATGCTGGCATCAGATCTGCATCCCTGGTATATTTTGTGGTGAGGAGATGTCTAGGTAGGAAAGCTTGGCCAGGAGTGATGAATATATATATATATATATACAGTATATATATATATATATATATATATATATATATATATATATATATATATAGTTTATGTTAAGTTTATGTTCTCTTTATGACTTTATTCCACTTTCATCAGGACTGGCTCCAAATTTTGGCCCCGGGATGATGATAAATCATTGATGCTTTTGGATGGGTTAGCATTAATTTATTTTAAGCAGGTTTGCTCAAACACAGTTGAACTATGTTGCAAAGACCCAATGGAGCAATCCCCTAGCTGTGTCAGCAGTGCTGCAGAGCCAAAAACAGGTCAGGTTCACTTACACAGAGCCTAGAATATATAAAAAAAAAAACAAAAAAAAAAAACAAGTAGGATCAACACAAAAGGTTGGTAAGGTTCAAAAAGTCAGAGGAGTTCGTAAGATGGCATGTCCTGATTTCAACCCTGTCCCAGAGGATTTACATAATGTGGCATAAAGCAAAGTTAGGCTGTGATGTATTTGCTCTATTTGACACCAAATCCTCCTCTGCACACTCACTGAGCCCGGTATCTCTGGATCTTCCCTCTGTTTGTTTGTGTCCTCAAAGGCAGATCTGTCAGAGTATCACAGGGAAGGGAAGTATCCAAACTACATTGCCTATCAACAGGGGTCCCTCAAGGGTCAGTGCTAGCCCCCCTGTTTTCTTGATGTGCACCATCTAATTCAATACAATAATCAAATCTCATTGATTCTTGTATCACTGCAATGTAGATGATACTCAACTCTTCCAGTTGAGACACAACTGTCTCAGCCTGAATCTCATCATGCGAAAGTGATATTTCTAAACAGATGAAAGAACGCCACCTACAGCTCAACCTGTCCAAAACTGAGCATCTTGTCATTTGAGCCAGTACTTCCATACAACCACAAGTCAAGATCCAGCTTAGATCAAATGAACTTGTGCCTACTAAGTCTGCTCAGAATCCTGGTGTCATGATTGATGATCGACTAACTTGTAAGGTTCATCTAGCCTAGTTTGCTCAGTTTTGCCTATTGTTTCTCTATAAGAGGATCAGACCCGTACTTAACAGAACACGCAACACAGCTCTTGGTACAGGCTCTCATGACATCACATATTGACTATAGCAACTCCTTACTGGTACCTCCCTGCATGCACAGTTAAACCTCTGCAAGTGATCCTGAGTGCAGCAGCCATGTCACTCCACTGTTCATCTCTATTGAGCTGATGGGGTGATGATGATGACGATGTTGATATATTACTACATGCATTGCTTTATACACTGCATGAAAGCAGTTTGTCCAGTTGCACTTATTGCTGCTTTTGGCATTTACTCTTGCTGGGTCCTTCTGTCTAAATCTTTGTTTGTGTTGTCCTTGCTTTCAAATGTACATTACTTTAGACCAAAGCATCTGCTAAATGACATTATAACGTTATGAAATGTCATAACTGAAATATGGAATCTAGCACTTTTAAACAAAGTGTGAGCCTGTGATGGAGTGACTGCAGTTACAAATGAAAGAAAAGTAAAGTGAGCTCTGTGTCAGAGTTTCCTCTTTAACTTTGTTTAAGTTTGCTCCCCAAATATACCTCTTTCTTTGCCAACTATTCTCATTCAACTTGTGTTTCAAGAAAACATAACAAAGCTTCACCTCTGTCTGTAGCTGTTTTTCTATTAGACATTCAAGTACACCAGGGAAACAGATTTATTAGAACAGGAAAGGCTTAGCACTTCTGCCTCAGAAGTGTGAAAACAATCTATTTTGACTCATTCTTGAGGGAGAAAATGACCAAAGTCCCATTACACAACTCCTGTGGCATATAGTATTGATAAAGGAAACATATCTTATGAATAAATCCCAGATTAAACCTCATAATGTATCATAATTAAAGAAAACCAATGCAGTGCTTTCATCTGTTGAAATTAAGATAATCTATTTGTTTAGTGTTGTTTGTGACATGAACCTATGAGAGAATATGTCACTCTGCAATGCACAACTTAAACAATGTCAAATAAGGCTCAGAACAGCACCTAACTTCATCAACGGAACATATAGGGTCCCAGCCATAATACTAGCCATCAAACATCTTTTTAGCTTTGCCCTGTTTTTTTAGCAAAGAGACCAAAACACAACTGACCCACTCTCCTCCAGCAGCCACTTGTTTGTGGGGGAGGCCTGATGAGTAGATCACTGAGTGCAGTGGATCATTTCCTTAAAGTAATAATCATCATAATAATCATTTTGCACTGCAGACGTTCTTCTGCCTTAGTGTCTCGGTCTGATTGCATCTCCATGAAGTAATAATCATAAATGTCCTTCCGTGAGCTGCAAAACTCCGCTGCACTCGGTGATCGACTCATCAGGGATCCCCCCACAAACAAGCAGCTGCTGGAGGAAAGTGGGTAAGTTGTGTTTGGTGTCTTTGCTCGAGAAACCAGGCATAGCTAAAAAGATGTTTGATGGCTATAGAGTGGCTTTTTGGTTGAGGTTTGCGTGTGGAGACGTAGACCGCTGTGTATTGCTATTGTGTGGTTGTTACTAAAGTTGGTATAACTAAAGAAGCAAGCAGTCTGCAACATTCATCTTTTGAGGGGATGTCTAACTCTGTGTTACAGTATATCCCTTTAAGGGCATCCTTAATCTTTTGATTATGTTGAAAGTATAATATACTGCATACTTTTGTCACACTATCTACAAAAAAGTATCAAGGGGAGGGGGCACTTTCTAATGAGTCACAGATACCCAGCTTACTTCCTGGAGCGAGCTGACAAAGCGCAATTCGAGACAAAACAGTTTTCTTGATCACTGCAATGTTTGAGCATGGTATACCTTATAGACCTCCAACTCTCAGCAGCCAGTGAAAATGTTACTATAACCAGCTGTTAGCACTAATGTACATGAATTAGACTTTTTGTGTGAGCTGGGGAAGGGGGCAGTCGCACATTCTGCTACAGATAAATGCATAATGGCTCACTGAAATGCAAAACAAACAAAAAAAAACCTGGCGCACAATAAAGCTTTAGGCTCTCAGTGCAGTTTGTGGAACACTTGGCACTTTGCATGTGCTTTGTGAATCTATTTGCACAGATTTAACAGGCAGTAACACATTCAATCTGTTGATAAATTAGACTATTAGCAAAGTTGGTGCTAAACAATGTTGACATTGCAGGTTCTTTACTATTCTTGATCTTTTAATAAATAGCCTAACCCGGATGCTCCCACACTCTTCAGCCCAGAACTAATAATGATTTGAATGTCTGGTGATTCCCACTGTACCGCGGTGGTCTAAATATGATGATCACTCAGATGTGATCGTCATGTTTAAACTAATAAGTGAGTGGATATTCCATAGCTTACAGTCAGGGTTTTAAATTAACACCCGCCAAATATGGGTTAAAATTCAATTTGGCGGGTGTTAGTAAAACCTTATTAGCCAGCTTGGCCAGTGCTATCTGACCTGTTGGTCAGATATGCTCTACATAGGTTCTGCTCTCAGTCATTTGTTCCCCGGCAGTAAGGCCTACATTTCTCATAAATACTTTGCCGTAATGCTACGTAATGACTTTCATACAGCTTGGCTGCACGAATGCTGGTATTACCCACTACAGTCTACAGTGCAACCAGCGTGAGAAACGAAGACAGTGGGAGCAGGGATTTTTGTAAAAACAGCAGTGCTTGTAAACTTATAAGTTTAGCTGGAGAGAAACTAAACTAAATGCAATGGTGGTTGAACTTGGGACAGACGAGGTTGGGCGAGAAGAGTAAGGATGGAGTAATTTCAGTATTGCCGCATGTATGCGAAAAAAAAAAAAACATATTGGCTAGTGGAAATTCTGATTGGCTTGTAACTTCAGAGAGTCACCAGCCACATTAACTGGTGATCAAAAAAGTAAATTTAGAACCCTGCTTACAGTCAGACTACAGCCTAAGAGACTTAATTCAGCTAGTCTGCAGAAAACAAAATCTTTCTGCAAACCTGGCAGTGTTTCCTGCTGCTGTAAACTTACCTTTATGAGCCTGCTGTGATCACTTCAAGGATCATGTGGCAACAAAGAAAAGCAGACAATGGATGACACTTTTTAAAATGGTTATCTTTAAAATGCATCTTTTTTTAAACTGTCAGTTATCAATTGATGTTATTATCGAATAAATCCCATCATACTTGGATTGCATCTCTGTGAAAGGAAGCAAAACATCAAGTAACCTTAGACTACCCTTTTTCAAAGGGGCAGCTCCAAAACACAACAGTTTAAACAGTGAACTGTTCATGGATTTATGTCACATTAGGAAAGTAGGCAATGTTTGTTTCTGTTTTTCTACAAGTTATATTCACAAGATTCAGTGACACATCAGTTCCTATGCAGCTTTACTCCAGAGAGCTGCTGTTTGTGGCACACGGTTGTGGCACACGCTCGACCTGATGTGGTAAGCGTTAGAGCATTGTGTGCTCTCAGAGTCTCCTGCTGAGCTAAAGAGGGACGATTGTGCAAAACTCCTTGCATAAAGCCAGTCTTTGATGTGCGAACACACCGTTGTGTTTGTCTAAAGTCATCTTTTACATCAAGGCTCGGCAGCGTAAGGTGACTTCGGGGAACGCTGCTCCTTTGAAGAATTCATTCATTAGCATTCAAAGGGACAGCCCCAATCCAGCCGCCCAGTGTTCGGATCAAAACATCGCCAACAGCAGGGCAGAGGGACGTGCATAGCATTCTCTCTGACCTCCACTCTTTGAGACACCTCATTTGCAGCTCCGCCATCATGTGCAAATCCCTCCTGATAGGGTGTTGCGTATACCATGACATTATCTATCATGTTACTATGACAGATCTGTTTGCTAAGAGAGATTGGATGTGATTTGGAAGGGCAGTACACCAGCTCTTTGATGATCTAAATCCAGGTGGAAATAAAAGTAAGGCAGAGTATGTATCTATGCTGTGCAGAGACTTCTGAAAGACAAGGCAAAGTCAATGCAAACTCTCAGGACTTATGGATTTCCTCACTCCTTAAATGTTAGATTTTGCAAGTGCACCACTGACTGAGAAGGCCCATTACTCATCCTCTGAACTTCACTCGTGTTGAGTTTAAGATGCACTGCAAAGATTTTATATGTCAAAGTCAATTAAGTAGTCACGGTAGGTAATACCCAGCCTGGGAAAACAGATGTATAATGTCTCCAGTGGTTCTTGAGTCTGAAGTCTGGGAGTATTTCATCACCTGGATTTACAGGCCTGAAGGAACAGGAATTCAGCATTACAATGATGTCAGAAAGAAAAATAGATAAAAGACAGTTGTACAACGTACAGGCCTCAGTGCTTTTCTTTTTTATTTATTTATTTATTTTTTCAGTTAATAGGAATGAGACGTGCGACAACTCAAAGATGTTATGTAAAGCTGACAGTAAACAGGTTTAATTTTGCTGTAAAAATCACTCTTTTACACTGGAGTCATTGGGTATTCCTTGGCTTTTACAGCTGGTACTTATTCAACTGGAGGACCTGCAGTGTTTTGCACTTCATTTTTACCACTGTGTGTTACTGCTTGGTGAAATGCTAAATTATCGACAATAAGTCGTGAGGATGAGTTAGCTCTTCATCTTTGCATGATGTTTTCCTTTATGCAATCATGCAAAAGAACAACTCTGTTTGGACAGCAAGGAAAACTCAATGTTTCTCTGCAACAGGCTCTGCATTCATATGCATGTGTGTGTTATATGTGTGTTAACAACTTTGTGAATACCAGCACAAATTATCTGGTTGTAGAAACAACCACACATGTATAACTAAGCCAGTCTGTGTGATTCTTCGGAATAATACTGTATATTTGTAAGATGTGACGTGGGCTTTATTGCAAATTGCAAATCCGGTCTTGGGCTCCACTGATCGACCTCTTTGTCCGTTGTGTATTCGAAATGCATGCTGCACTCAGTGACCAATATGCAAGAAGGTTAAACCTAATCTAGTTCCAGAGAGAGCCAGCAGTCTGTTCCCTTCCTGCAGAAGTCCAATTGTGGCTCTCGTTTGGGATCAGATGTGTTTTCTGCGGCTCAGAGGAGACGCTTAACAAGGCTTTAATTTTTCATCTGAAGCACCAGTATGTGTGTGTGAATCTCTCTGTTTGTGACTGTTATTCATGTAGCTGCTCTGTGATGTTCTGTCTTGTTTTTAATGGTGGCTTAATTAATACACTGTAGGATATCGAGTGTGGATATTTGTGTTTGGATAACAGTATGTATTTTATTGGCATGAATTGGTGCTATTAACAGGTTGTGATGGACTCTTGATGTTTCTATAGTGCTGTGCTCTTGTGAATGAATCCTTAATGCTCTCCAGGCCCCGGCAGGAGGGATTTTGACTGAGTGATCTTGCCTATAATTAACTGACAGTAAACACTGGATGCCGGGAGCTTAATCACTGCATTAAAACGCTTCTCAGCTGCTTCCATACATTTCGATTGACCCCTTTTAACGACAGGATACATTCTTGATTGATTACTTTGATGCAAGTTCTTACAGATAAATTGTTTGGAGACCACATAGCTAATTTTCTTTGGCTCTCAGTTGCCGTCTTATTTAAAGTATTAAATAGGCGTTTAAATCAAGTAGCTGACAGGCGCAGCAGGTATTAGAGCCTTGTGTGTGAAATAGGTGATAACCTGGATTTATGCGTCATGATTTGGTTAATACAGTTCATATTCCTTGATTTGTAAATGCATCACCCCAAAGGCCCCTTGTCAGGTTGTAAATCTGCATTAAAAACAATCTGAGCTAAGAAAGGACTCAGTGTTTAGTCATAGAAACCCCTTTTTTCCAGTTTGCCATGTTTCACTGTGTTACATCAACCGTAATCTGGAGTGACAGCCGTTGATGACCTACACGACACGCAACGGCAGCAGCTCAATTACATGGCGTGAAATTGTAACTGTCTGAATGCTGGTTGAACTTTTACAGCTTGATGCCTTTTTGCACTCAAACAATGTTAAGCCCACCACAAGTCAGTGTGGGCACTCGTGCTGCAGCTGTAGGCTGCAACATACGGGGGAGATGGAGATCCATGCAAGCTCTGGAATCTCATTAAGCGCCATGTGTTGCCAGATTCAAAGCAGAGGTGTATTTGGCAGCAGAGGACCGCCGCAACCAGAGATGTCAGTCCCGTAGCTTAGTTACACAACTGAGTTGAAACTGTGACAGAGGCTGAAATCACGACATAACCACTAAAAGTGTTTGTCTAACACAGCCTTGCAGTTGTTTCAAACTTTCTGGCGTATTCATTCTTATAGATTACCGCCTAACCCAGAGAAAAAAAGCATCAAGCAGTCTAATTTGAGCCCATTTTTCCTCATGAAAGATTATTTTTCTCTGTCTTACCCTCACAGGGTTTTATAGATTTGTTCTAGGCCTTCGAATCAATCCAGATATCAGGATTGTTTTCTTCAGAAATTCATAAAGGTCTGTTTTTTTTAAACCAAAGTACTGAGCTTCTGCAGCCTGATGAGGTGATCATTTCTGTCTTGTGAATAAGGGACAATAACTGCATCTCATGCACACATGCTACCAACCTTTATGTTCTGTGTCTAAATACACAAATTACAGTATAGCTGTTTTCCGTCACTAAAGGCCATCACTTGCAAGTAATTTGCTTTTCTTGCATTTTCAGGTATTTTTGCAACCCTATGGGGTGCACTTCATGCTGTGTTTGGAAAAACCTCCAAACTGAACATTTTCACGCACACTGTTCTCAGAGGAACTAAATCCCTTGAGGACTATGATCACGCAATAAGCGATGGGTGACTGAGCAGACTTAATTCTTGGTAAAAGATGGTTCAATCGAATGAGAGCAACAGTAAAAGAGTCCCTTCATTTGTAGATATCTCAGTAGCCAGACCAGTACAAAACATTTGTCATTTGTCACTTGGGTGAACACATCCCTAAAATTAGCAGCACATCTCTGAAGACACAGCTGCCATTCAAATTGGAATAAAAGCACAAAGGAGGGTCATTGTCTGGGATCAAGCAATCTGGTCGACTATTAGGCTGAACCACTGCGACACACCGCTTATTATCCACTATCACACAGGCACTATTTAATTTAGTGTCTTTGTCCAATGCAATAGCACTGCAGCGCCTTCTCTTTCAGCCAGATGGATTTTGTGTCATTCAGTGTTGTACCCCAGCCATCTGATTTGGCAAAGACGGACGTCTGGCAGATGTGGACCTTAAGAGGAGCCTCGTTTCAGCAGAAGGGTGTATTGTTCTATTAAGACAGCACTAATTGCATCGAGACTTCAAAATTGCTTTTGTTTACTGACTCTGGCCGATGCAGCCTGGAGGCAGAACACACACATTTTTAGCTAAATAAATATCATGAAACCTTGTTGTGTCTACCGTTCTCTCTTTAACTCACTGCTTTTATCTTTGCCCATTAGGAAGAGCAGGAGCAGCAGGTTCTGGGAGGACATGTGCTTGGAATTGGTCGCAGAATCTTAATGAGGAAATGTTTTAATCCCAAACTAGATCCGAGCATCAGCCCCCTTCAATGACAGCAACAACATCAGCCGATTTTAGAGGGCATCTTTAAAACCTTGTCTGAAAACATCACAGAGCTGATTCCTCTCCTGACGCTGACGTCCTTATTTCCCCTTAAACTGATTCACCCAGCATTTTACTCCACAGGCCGGTATCAAAGACAGAAGCCTGTTTTGCTGCTCTCTGCTGCATCTCAATGGCAGTCTGATGTTTTAATTCCACCCTGCTTATCAATGAGTTTCTTTTGTTCCAGATTCAGTATCTCAAGGCTATCGCATGCCAAAAAAAAAGGTTAAAAAAAACCTTCAACATTCAAACTCAGTCGTCACAGAAATGGATTTCTCTATGATCTTTTGTTCGCAGAGCTCTGTGAGTTTTTCTATGAGCATCCATTACCCATAACTATTATTTCTACTGACACGTCCTCTTTGCCTCCTCTTCTTTTGTGAAGGTGACCTGAGAGATCCAGAGGCAAATGTGAAAGCTATCGAGATTGTGCAGTTCCAACTCCACCTTCTTTATCTGACTCAACATGTGTTTGGATACCTGACCTAACTCAACAACTTTATCCTACTAGAGTGAGTACCAAGATACATGCAGAGATCAAGATGATCGCTCAGTTTCCCTGCATTTACATTATTTATGATTCCTGACATTAGAGCAGTAATAGAGGGACTTGTGATGTTTTTAGTAGCTGAAGAAATCACATTTCACCAGAGAGAGGTGAAAACCCATGACTCTGTAACCATTAACAGTAGTGCCATGCATCTGATAGACCAGGAAGAAGTAGTGAAGGGTTAGCAAACTACTGATAGCAGCTCTCTGAGGTAGCATACTTTGAAATAAATATAAAAGAATATAAAAGAATAAAACGTCATGATAAAAGCATGAAAATCATTTATGAGGCTGATGATGTGGATAAAACAAACATTTGAACAGTATTAGAAATAGATGAGATGAGAATAAGGAGAAAATTGCTAACCAACTTCTTGAGGTAAAACATTGACTTCTTTTGTCAACAAAAGTAGTTTTATTTTACTCACAGATTGTTCATTTTTGGTATCAGATAGCTTTAAAAAAAGGCATTTTTTCCTGGGCTTGTCTTGTTAATTTGCATTGATTAAGACTTATCAGGATTTTTGTACAAGAAAAAAAGTCAATAACACTTGCTCAGTGCAAGATATTGCCGTGCAGTCCACGTTATTGATGGTCAGTTGTTGTTGGACCAGCACAGAAATAGTCACAAGAGAGCTTTTGGACATACCCCAAATATAGACTAGTATCTTTCAGACAGATACTATAAAGGCTGTTGGTGTAAAAGTAACAGATTTATGTTGTTTCTTTCAAACCTTAATTTACATCAAATAAACAATTTTGATGTTGTGTTAAATCAAGTTGCACTGAGCTGCAGGGCACAGTTCCCCTCAAGGACAATAAAGCATAACTACAGGAGTATATACCATCATTAGTCACTCCACCTCCTTTGAGAGCAGAGAAACCTGTTAAAATGTTCTTTTACAGAGTACATGTGCTTGACAGAGGGTCATGGAAAGAAACATTGGGAAAGTGGTTTTACACAGTGGTCTTGATTTTAATAAGCATGCCAGATTCAAAAGTGGTGTGCAGAAACCTGATTCCTGAGGTTCAGAGATTTTTAAGTACCTGCTTTATTGGTGCGCAGACTGTAGCTGTGAAACAACCCTCCTCTTTGAAACCAAAGAAATTAAAGTAACCTGGATGGTCAACAGGTTTGGTTTTTAGCTTACATGTGGTTGTTTTTCACTCACATACATTTTAAGATGATCATTTTGGGGCCATTACAACCTATTATGTTAAATTACTTTGTCCTGCTGCTCTTAAACCCAGTCCTAAATTTACTTGTCCCACTATTGAGCAGTTTTGTTCACTTTGTTTTTCCATCTTCAGTCTTCCTGATATAGTCGCAGTGAATGGATCTTGGTCTCAACATGAGGCTACCCTCATTCCATAAATAAGTGCCACTATCTGTTGAGATGAATATTGACAATTCATTACTAAACCTGTCCAATATTCAAGTTTCAAAGTGGTTTCATTGGGTTGTGGTTTTATATAAGTCTTTGACGGTACAACATAAGTAATGAACATGTCAAATGGCTCCAGGAAATAATGAACTCTGTCATGTCTGAGCAGACACTGCTGTACAAACACCAACTTTGTCAAACATGCTATAAAGGAATAATATTGAAATTGTATGGAAATTTGAAGCTAGGACATTAATTCATCTCCAGAATACATCAACAGTCATGAGAATTTATTGCACCTTTAATATCATGAGCCAATATAAATAAAACACCCATGGGAAATAAACACAGCTTTCATTACAAGTTTAAAAATAACAGGCCTCCAGCAGCTATGGAGAGGTCTCTTGGAGATTTGTTTCCATCTCCAAAATTAGTATATTACAGGGTTTTACTGCTAAGAGATTTGGGTTGTTACCAAATCTGGGTTGTTACCCAGAGCTAGGACGAATGTACAAATGCTGCAACCTGCTGTGAACATCACCATTTTGTGGTTTTGCTTATATGCAACAGCCCCAACTCCAAAAGAGTTAAAGTTGCTGTGTAAAACCATAGACTGTATATACTGTAGACAACTCGGTTCTGACTTCCATCATCATACGAATTTGAAGCCGAATTGATCTTGGTATTTCTGAGATTTTCTCCACTTCCTGGAACCACCACTGGCACAGTACCGTTGTACACATTTCACCACTTGTGCAGTGGTGTTGTACACATTGACCCTAATCTATCAATCTTGCGCAGATCTGAGTGCAGGATTCATCCTACGATAGGACACGTGAGATTTATGAAAGGGTTCATATCTGACCAATCCCAGCGTTCATATGGTAGGGTCTTGATAAATGCGGCGGCTGAAATTGATCAAAAAAAAATAATGAACAAAAATAATTATCAACGTCACCAAACGGTGTGTTGCTGCCCCTGAGGCACATTTTTATGGATTTCTATTGGATTTTTATCACTGATTAAATAGCAAGAGCACCTTCTAAACTTATATATCACATCAGAATCCACCAATAAGGTTCTGTCTCCTCTGTACAGCACCTTTGTGGAGTCTCTCCTTGTTATTGTTCTTTGGGCATCGGGTCCTCACGTTGCACCGGCACAGCCAATGGCACTCTTTTCGCCAGAGCAACATTGTGCAAAACTGTACTGGCTCAAATGATGTCCCACACCCTTCCAGGAGTGTACAACAATGTCCCCGCTGCTGGATCAAGATAGAGACACCTGCCTTGTAGGAGTGAAATGCAGCGCTCCACAGTGGCACCTGTGTGTGTGTGTGTGTGCGTAATGTTGTAACGGCGCTCCTGCTCTGTGGCAGTGTTTCTGGGCAGAGTTATCAAATAGGCCTATTCACTAAGGACATAACAAATTTATTTTATTCTATTTACGTCTTAATCTTAAATGAAATTTGGCTGATTGTGCTTAATGACAGGTTTGAGGCGTGTATATCAATTAATGTATTGAAATCTGACGTTCTTCTTTGAAATCGTAGACCTCTGTTTTACAAAAATGAGGGACTGCATGATTTCTTGTTGTTGCATGGTTCCTAATCCAGTAGCTGTGATTGTATGTGAATGCATATGCGCTTTTAGCATAGGTAGCTTACACATATTTGAAGGCCCCACTGTTACGACCCGGCCTAGGGGTATGCTGGACGTAACCTAAAGTGCTCCTTCCTTTGCCCCAACTCCCCAAGAAAACCAACTCTCAACCAGAATTTGCAGTCTTAAATTAATTTATTGTTTAACATAAATGGTAGTCAACTTCAGGGTGGGCACAGGCCAAAACAAGAAACAAAACCTCTTATTTAAAGCTATCCTACCTAACAAACAAAATTGTAGTAAATAAAATACAGGGGGTCTTACCTGCCTCCCTAACCCAAAACACGAGAAAAGTCTGTGAAATCAAATAGCTGCCCACCCCTACCTACCAGACTGCTCTTAAAACAACTTAAACTATTTGTCATGAAGACAAATCAAAATTCACAAAGTTTCCACAATTTTAACACAAAAAGAGCCTCCACGAAACACAGGTCTGGTTGGGAGTCAAGACAAAGGAATGAGAGAGAGCTCCTCCAGCAGTCACCCTTTTCACAGCTTCCCTCCTCAGCTGCTGTCCAATCAGGCCAGAGTCCTCTCCTGAAAAATAAAACAGACACAGGAACAGCACCTACCACAGGTAGGGAGGGTTACCCACAAACAAAATGTGCTGATGAAAAGAAAACAGGAAACATATGACCCCTGGTCATAACACCCACTAATATATACAGGTTTTAGAACAACATATACTGCCCATCCATTTTTAAGGGAAGATCTTGTCACAGAGTTTTGTTAAAAAACGAGATGATGTAATGTAGCCCATCTGTGTCGCTGGCATCGAATTCAAACAAGCATATGTTCTAAATACCCCTTGAATTGCATTTTAAGTATTGGATTCACAGTTCCTTCAAACTTCTCTGCACTTTCTATCCTTTAAAGACAAAAACAGGTCAAATTTAATGTGACATTCCTCGCCTAAATCTTCTTAAAACTGTTCTGTCACATGTCGTCAGTTGCATTTGTGCAGCCTGCTCCGCAATGATTGGATGATCCATATCGCTTCAGCAGGAAAAACACTCAGCAAAATCCAGAGCGGTCTGATTTACAAAGTTGGATTTAGGGTCTTAAACTATCAGCCCCAACTCTTCCCTGCCTTTCTCCTTCTATCATCCTCCTTTTCTTTGAGGAAATTGGCATCATTTACTGCTGTCACTGCAGAGCTTATTGTCCCCCATTATCCCAGGGACAAAGCTGCCATGACATTGAGTTAATCCCTGCTTGTTACAATTTTGCTTCTAGGGAAGGAAAACAGATAAAGAGTTCAGGTAAGTGATGGCAAAGAGGTGCCATACCCCAGGCATAACCCGCTGCAATGATTAGAAAGGTTGAGAGGAAGATAAAACGCAATCTGCCACGCCAATTTGGTTGATTCTCTCACAAATGTCAGGGAGGATTTGAGCATGCTTGTGAGGATTTTGTCATGACTTACTATTCTAGGCGGAGACTTTCTGACTCATTAATACTTTCACAATCGCCATCACCACGAGATGATAAAATACTTCACCTGTGAGCCTCTGGAGGGAGAACAGTCAGGTCTAGTCAAGACGAGCCGGCCTGCTCCTTACCTGAAAGGTAAAATGTCCTCTGTAAAGCTTTCTACCTTGGATAAAGATCTGTCCAGGAGTATAATTGTGTCAGTGTGAACCTGCACTAAGCTTCCTTGACTACTTTCAGAGAATATCATGAAGAAAGAGTGAGGAAGCTTGCCAGAGACCTGTGCCAAGTAAAGCAATCTCATCCTTCTACCCTTTCCAAAAAAGATGGTGTGATTTTATTCAGAGCTTTGGTGCTGAACAGGTTTG